CCCTCAAAGGCACAGGAGCCCATCGCGAGGTTTTCTACATAGAAACTTGCCTAGGGATGATGGCAGAAAGTGGCGGGAGGGGCACCTAGCAGACCGGCACAACACACTCGTTCAACTTCACAAGGCGCCTCAAGGATGGGCGCAACCTTCGCAGGGCTCCTTAAAAGATACATGTTGCCAATTTGAAACATGATTTTTTCCACCAAAATAAAGGGACACCACCATTTGCAAGGCAATGTTCAGGTGTATAACGTAAGGATCCCTGCTTCGGTTCCCTTTTTTTGCGCTTGGGCGTACCTGGGAGGCGCTCATGCATTCATCGCGTCAGTTGGCTGCGGGCGAGGCCCAATTGACTTTGACAGCGGACTCGTACACTCCCTCAGACTAACAGCCGGCAGCTCCCCCAATTGGCCTTTGTAAATGGAACTCAATCTTCCAAAAGGGTCCTGGGAGCTTCCATGTTAGGCTGGGGGAGGGTATGCTTACACGGAGAAGTTTTGCAGCACAATTTTGCAAAGGCGCTTCCAAACTAGTTTGCAATGGTCACTGTGAGAGCTGCTCGAGGTTAAAGTCCAAACACCTACCAACAAGGATTTCCGCTCGAACTTCTTGTGCCGGTCTCTCAAATACCTGCGTTCCTCAAATTTGGGGTGTGAAAAATTGGAGAAGGCACCCCCGAAGTGGGTGGTGTTCCTGTGTTTACGGGTTCGAATGAACGGGTTTTAGCTTGCACCAAACAAAGACATGTGCGCATCCGAAAGGACACCGTTTGTGAGTTTCCCGCTGAGACCGTGTCACCCAATCAGATACTCAATCCCCCGGGTCCAGGCAAAGCCCCTGCTTTTTTCTCAACCCCAAACTCGTTTTGTTTTCTTCCTTTTTTTTCCTTCTTTGTTTTTTTCTCTGACCTCTCTGGGCACCTTGTGCTTTATGCACCCTCACCAAAGACAAGTTGGGAGCGGCAAAGGCGCACGGGTCTCTACCGATTCCAGCTTCTCAAGTTTTTGGGGTCGACATTGAAATGTGTAGCGTTCGAAAGGCACCCAGTTAGAACCCATCGGGTCACCCAAATCAATCCACCAGGTGGAGTGAATTTTCGACAAAAGGCCGCGACTCAGGTCTCCCGGCGCTTCCGCAGCTGATGAACGGGCCAACTGATCTGCATCCGCCGATTTGGCGAGCGCAAGGGGTCCAACGAGGGAAACGCAAGGATGTAGGTGCGTGACGTTAGGATCCAATTCCTCTTTGGCTACATTGTTTTTCTTATGGAATGCACTCCCAAGTGGTTGGACATGAATTTCCAGCGAATTTTGACGTCCAGCAGTTCGTTCCCCCCATCAAAATTCATGCCCCTGGATTGTGGTTTTGTGAGTTGTGTTTTTGTCAGGGAATCGTGTTTTTGGGTTTGTTTGAAGGGACACCAAAAGGCAACCAAGCAGTTTGCCCACCTGGACCACGAAAAATAGAGTGCCCGAGAAGAGGGGTCCTCAGACAATCCACTACCATTCCTTGCTGGGGTTCTCAAAGTGGGGACCTGGCCTTTGGGAGAGGCTTAAGTCTTGAGGCGGTTGGGACGCTGGGAAGCACCGGGTTTCCCCCAAGGCAACTGGTGGAAATGGGTGCGATTTCGGGGCGGTTTGGGTTTAGGGAACCCGATGATTTCGGTTTCAGAGTGCAAGCTACAGGCAAAGCGATTGATTCAGTGAAGCGGCTTCTGCATCCGATTGATCCAACCTGCAGTTTCAGGAGCTAGGGGCCTTCCAACTTGAGGACGCAACGTTTGGGAGATATGATCAATCAGCAACCGGTGGCCAAAGTGCACGATCTGCAGCTTCCATTGAGTCTCGCTTGTTTGGCCTGGTTCTCTTATCCCTGAGGGAATACGCCCACTGAACCAGCCTTTTGGTTTTATTTGGGATCCCCTTCTGTTTCATTCGGAAATTCCCTCAGAAGTGAGTTTATTCGCGCACCAAGGAAATTCCCTGAGAACCACCAAGAAAACGCTCCCCTTAGTTTCAATTCGTTTCCGGGTGGCAAGCGGACGGGGTGCGCAAACCAGTTCGCTGAACCGCAAGTCACAGAGTCCGAAGCCGGAACCGCGGATTCGGTGGGGAGTCGGTTTCTCCGTCGCAAAGATGCCGCAAAGGGGCTGGTTTAAGAGATTCGACTTTTTACCCTCTTGTCCACGTTGCAGTGGAACCCACCAGAGGGTCCATGTAGAAAGGAAAATCGTCTTCGACCCCGAAACGTCAGGTTCCCCCATCGCTGGATTTTAAAGGGAGCGCAAAAGGCAACCCAGTTCAGAGATTCTGGAGACACTCGTGCTCGGTCTCTGCGACGAAAAAGCGCACTACAAAGTCCGGCTTTTGTACAAATTTCTGGGCCAGCTGCAAGAGCAAAGAGCTAGCGGACCGATCTCCTGAAGATCAGGACGCCCAAAGACTCATCATTTTCTTCCTTTAGAATAAGAGAGCGTGCTTTTTTGGCCTCCATGCGAATTTGCGACTCAATCACTTCAAACCGTACGTAGTCTGGTCTCGCTCAATCCTCGGTTGGCCTATTTTTGTTCAGCCATGCATTATGACCTCAAACCCCGGCACTCTTCGTTTATCGGACTATTGGTTCACTTGGCAAGAAACTCAGAATTTCCTCAAAAAGGGTTTGGACGCAAATCCCCACCTAAATGATGTCAACCAAACAATCCCCAACAAGAAAAGAGTCACCCAACCGCTTGCGTATGCCATTCACTTCACGAACTGCTGGGTATTGGAGCCGAGGAAACTAAGCCAAGGAAGCCCCTAGCACCAACCGCGGGTTTCTCCTGCGGTGTTCTCAGGATACACGGCTGGCTCGTGCAGCAGGGGACAGCCAGGTACCCTAAAAAAAGACAAGCCCATATGAGCCACAATCAAAACCCGGGTAGACGAAGGTTAGTAAGGGATGCTCCCAACCATAAGTAGCTGCGGCCGCCTTCTTGATTCTTTACATGGTTCTGGGTAGACCACTTTAATACCGAGTTTTGATTATGACTCATATCAGATGGGGGAAGGCTTCGCAGTGGAGTTCCAGGATGTCCCCTTGAACTTAGACTCTATTCGGGGCATCTGTACAACTAACAGGCAGCCTTCAGCGCCATGTTCGTCGGGGGACTGCAAGAACTCAGACATGGGTGTATCTGTTTTAGGGAACATCCAAAAAAATGGTGGCTTTCCCTTTAGCTTCCCTTTAAACCACAAAAAAAAAGGTCCCTCAAAGAAGACATATACCCAAATTCAGCTATCGAAAAGCAGCTCTTTCGCTCCAGTCGCTCCAGACTGGCCAATCAAATCTCCGAGACCCGGCCGCTTCTTGCAACCGTTTCAGGAGTTTGGAGACGGCATCCAACAAATACGCCCAGGTGGTATTCCCAAGAACCCTAGCCCGGAACCCTTTCGGAACCCTAGCCCGGAGCCGCTCAGAACCACTCCGGAGCTTATCTGGGCAGAGACCCCAAAGCTTGCAGCTGTTGGGGGAACTAGAAGCTGACCGGAATGGTGTAAAACGAGGGACCGGAAATCCTTATTCTTGGTCTGTGGTGCACTTTCCTGTATCTCTAGGGTTTGATTCCCCATTCTTTTCTTTTTTTTTTTTTTTAAGCTGTTTCCCCTGGGGTTCTGATGGTTTTCTGAAAAGAAGGATCCCTGGAAAGAATGGGGAAGTGTCCCCTGGAGTAGCTAGTTTCTCAGCTACTTGTTTTCTGGTGCGGACAAGAGCACCTGGAGGCATGGAGCCGTCTTGAGGCTCAAGCCTCCAAAGTTTCCTTTTGCCGAGCAGGTGTCGACGGAGTCCTCCCACATCCGTCGCCGTGGGGATTTGTTTCGTACCCCGTTTTGCATTTTGCCAAGGGATGTTAGGACTTTAACTTTTTGATCCAACTAATGAATTGGTTTTCCATTGAACCACTAAACGTTGAGCTTTTAGCAGGGGAGCAGAGTTCGCAAGTGAGCTGGGAAGAAGACTTCAGAAAGGTCAAGGACTGGAATCTTGGGGGACGAGATTAATAGGGGTTCCATCATTGACACGATTCGCCCGTAGCCTCCTTTGACTTTAAGTCATCAAGCCTTCAGTTTTCTGAGCTTCGGAGGAGTCCGTCGAGTTGTGAGACTCCCATGCCCGCCACGCAATCGCATGCCGCCAACACAGCTGCCAGTAGTACCATCGCAGAACTAGACATTTAAAAGGGCCGGTGGGGGGTTGGGGGGGCGCGGGTGAGGAGAGGGGGGGGGGGAAGAGAGAGAGAGAGAGAGAGAGAGAGACAGAGCAAGAGCGAGAGAGAGAGAGAGAGAGAGAGTGAGATGTACGAGCCGTTTCAGGCTCATTTCATACAACGTTTTGCTGACGACACTCTGGGCATGCACCTTGCAAGCTGACCTTGGTCCAAACCGCAAGAGCACTTGTAATGTCACCATGGGCTTTCGCTCACTGCTCGCTCGATTTCCCACGCAGCCGAACAAGAAATCAGCCAGGGATCAGTTGTTGTCCTTTTTTGACCCCCCCCCCCCCCCTAAAAATAGTCGTTTTCCTTTTGGTTGACCTTGAAAAACCTCAAAACGGGGTATCACAAAGAAACGACACACCCAGTCTTAGCTCCCGAAGGGGGATGCGGCTTCTCGCGCACGTTGCGCCTTTTTCTAGGTGTTCTTCTGGTAAGTATTTTCGGTGTTGGTACCCTATTCGGATTGGCTTTCCTTTGGCCCAAAGGAAAACACTAGGGGTTGATTCCCCATTCTTTTTAGGGTGTTTGGCGTTTTTTTTTTTTTTTTTTAGAAAGGAGGATTTTTGGAAAGAATGCAATGGGGACGGTACCCCTCGAATTTGTTTGGTCCTTTACTTGGGATCCAGTTAAATCAGCCTTTGGAATTGAAGTGAACCAATGGGGACGGTACCCCTCGATGTTTTTGGGGCACCTTTTTGGAGGTCCAGCTGCTTTAATCGGGCGCTGGCGTCTGTCCGTCTGTCAGGCGGCCTTCAACGCGACCCAGCGGCTTCTCTCCGGTGGCTTGATCTCGGCAGGCGACAGCCGGCGACGTTTTCGTTTTTCGGTTTCGTTTTGGGGGTGGGGTCCGAGCGCGGAAAGGAAGGTGTAAGAAAGTGAGGTCTCCAGCTGAATTGGTGGTTTGGATTGGTTTGGGGATTTGATTGAACCCTGGTTCTTGTAGAGGGGTCAAGAGGTGTTGTTTTTTGCGGGTCACAAAAATGGGGGCCCCACGATATTCGATTTACCCATTTTGGAAGCCAGAAGCGAGTGGGTACTTGTTCATTTTTTTCCGGACACCACGTACTTTACACCAAGCAAAACAATGTTTGTTTTGTTTGGAAGGGGGGGGGGATCAACTTTCAACATCAGGTGCGGGCCCAAGATAGCTGGGAACCATGAAACTATGTATTTGCAGGTCTCTACCATTGACGCTCAAAGCAGTATGTTTTGGCTCGATTGTTTGTGCTCCAATCACAGTCAACTGTGAGTATTCTTTGCAAAAGCTCAATCAACACCCTCCCTCCAGTCACGCAAGCGCATAGCATGCATGTGTAAACGGCACCATCTAAGACTACATTGACTACCTCCAAACCACTACCCCCAAAGCCAATGGATATATACAGGGTATATAAAGGTTAGGAAAGGGCTATATAAGGGTTATACGAGGGCGCCTCAATTTGTGCATATTTGGCTGCTGCAGAAACCCGGTAATTCTGAAGCTGCGGCATGTGCTTCATCCTTCGCTTCTATCAGTTTGACATTGAAACTTGTGAACATCAACGCTTGGTTTGCGCCGGTATCTTTGTTTAAGGTGAACATCAAAGCTTTGCTGTCTTGGCAGCCAGTTTGGTTTGCTGCTTTGATCATGTCGCGTTGGAGGGACCGCCACATACCCGGTTTTGGGGGTAGTGAGTCCCAAAACGCGCGGTTTGGGGGTAGTGGATTTGACTGGGCGATTTGGGGGTAGTCACACGTCACCTTGTATGCGCGTGAAAAAGATGACCCCCAGTTTGGGAGTAGTTGGGGGCGGCAGCGCGCGGATTGTGCGGGAGTTCCGGAGTCGGTGTGGGTGGCAACAGCCACAAAATTGCTTTTCGAATACCGGGTTTTAGCCACGAGGTAGTAAGCCATTCTGAAGAACTGTGCTGGTAGGGACTCACCATTCTAGGGGCCAGGCAGCTGCAGGCAAATAATTTCAAACATCAAGCAGATCAGATGATCGTAGGCCTTATACTGATTCAGAGCCGTAGCAAGGGGAGCCATCGCAACCAAGCTTCTGACTCTGAAGTGAGTATTAAGGGCCCATCAAGCACCATAAAGGGCCAGAATTCTCCCATTTTCTTGCTGTGGCTTTGAATCATAGGAGGGGGGCACAGATGTGTTTAAAGGAATCGAGCTTCATGTCGGTGTCCCCGGCCTCCGTGCTTGGACATTCAAATAACCCTCCGTTGTTTGATGTGGGCACCAATGGAACCACGCTTGCTGCTCGGTGATGTTAAAACTCCGCCCATCTTAGCAGCACTAGTTGCAAGAGGAGTTTAAGGCGACCTGCAAGGGGGTGTGCATCAGCCTCACTTTGAGCTGAGATTTTCAATCGAGCAACGCCCACCCGCCCCCTCCTTCGGTTTTTTTGGGCGCCAAAGCTATGCTCATGGTAACCAACGAGGGGTGCCTGCCCACCTACCTACCTAGCTATCTACCTGCCCACCTATCTGCCCGTCACCTGGTTGGCTCCGATTTTTGACCCCCACCAAAAACAAAAAGCCACGGCCAAGGCAACAACACAACCCCAGGACCCGCACACAGCGCCAAAACCGCCTTTCCGCGAGGCCACGACAGATCAGATGGAGGCCTCTTGACTGCGGTGCCGGGCCCCCAGATGCCTTTTGGCAGATGGCTCTCTTGTCCAGATGATCTCCGCTATCTCAAGATTCACACTAAGCGTCTGGCTACATAAAGGTTGGGGAACCCCAAAAGGATTTATGTTTTTTACTTTGGATTCTTTTTGAGCAATGTGAAAAGGGTACCGTGAAAGACACACAATCATTTTACCTTCCCCGGAGAAAAACAACAACAATAACGAATGTGTGAGAATTGGGGAGCCCCTCAAATAAAGGTTTTTCTTTTGGTTTCTCTTTGAACCAAGGTGAAAAGGTACAGACGGGGAAAAAACATAGCCCCCTTCTAGGGGCACCAGTTCTCTTCTCCGAATCCCCAGGCTGGAGATGGCCTTTGCCGGCCGCGTGGGCTTCGACATGAAGCTGGACGATGCCAGCGCGGGCCTCGTTGCCTCGTTTGTGCAAGTAGGAACCTGTTTACTGGAACTCGTTGAACGGGTCCCCTGATTCCAGGTTGAGCCATCAGCGACCAAAGTTTGACGCAGCGGGTTATCTCTTCTGTGATGCCAGGGGTTGATAATGGGGATTGATCATTCTGGTAGTGGTACTGTGGATGGACGAAATTTATTTCTCACCACCTAAGAAACCCTGGAATGATTCGATTGCCCTGTAAATACCAACAAACCATGGTTTCCCATGGTTTCAAAGTGGTGCAGGATTTTGTCCATCCACGGTACGTCTTCTCTCAGAGGGAGTTTGACAAGGGGAAGCCAAGAAGAAACCATTCTGGGGTGCTTTTTTTGTACCGGAATCATCTCAAGTTCGGGTGTTCTGTGTGCTGCCCCAACAGCTGGGTGTTGTTGTCAGGGTTTCCCATATTTCCCCTTTGCCGCTCTCATTTCTTTCTGTTTGTCATTTTTCAAAATCCCCCTTTTTTGGCAGTTCTCAAGTGAAACCAACAGGCAAGCCGAAATCCATTCTGGGGTCCGGATCCCAACAAAGAACCCCCCCCCATATACCGCCGTTTTTGTGTGAGCTTGGGGGAGGTTCCGAACCTCAGGCCGAAGGATCCATCGGAACTTGGGGGTTCCCAGGCATCGGGTTCCTTTGACTTTTGCTCAGTTGTTCAGTGGCACCAATTCTTTTTCCCTTTTTGTTGGTGGCTGCCCTACCAAAAATGGTCTTCCCCAAAAAGTGTTCCCGTTTTTTTCCAGGGTCACTGGGCAACTGAGTTTAGTTGTCGTTCGTTGGTTTGGTAGGTTCTCCCAAACCGCTAAAGTTTTTCGGCTTTTAGCAGGGGTGGCAGGGAACAGCCCCGGGGAAGATGACGGTTTTGGGTGGACCGTTCCATGGTCTTTGACTGGCTATGACTTTTAATAGGGAACCCCCTGAAAAGTGGTTGGTGGACATCAATACATCACCTAAATGATGTAATGATGTCCACCAAAGGGCCCCTAGTTAAAATTCACACCCATTTTCTTTACTTACCCAGTGCTTCCAGGGAAGTCAGTTTTGTAGGTAACCAAGGGAACACCATGGTGTAAATCCTAGAGGTTGCCACACTGACTGGCGGTTGAAGTTGGAAAACCATTGGCCCGCCAGATGCCGGCACCCTGATGGAGAAGCTCTTCGGCGAAGCCCCGGGCCTCATCTATGAGGCGCCTCTGGCGGGCGCGATTTGCGGCGCGTCTCAGGGACATGTTTTTCGTTCTTCCTTTTGTTTATCGTTTGTTTGCTTGTTTGTTTTGTTTTGTTTGTTTTGTGTGTGTTTATGTTGTGCCTTTGTTTTGTTTGTTTTGTTTTGTTTGTTTTTCCCCTGTTTTTTTCCTTTTCTTTTTCTTGTGTTTTGTTTATTTTGTTTTGTTTGTTTGCTTTGTTTGTTTTGCGTTGTTTGCTTTGTTTGTTTGGTTGTTTTGTTTGCTTTTTTTGTTTGTCTAGTTTTTGTTTTGTTTGTCTTGTTTTGTTAGCTTGCTTTGTTTGTTTTGTTCGTTCTTTTTTTGCGTGTTTTTGTTTTGTTGGTTTATTTTCTTTTTTGTTTGGTTTGTTTTGTTTGTTTTGTTTCGTTGGAAAGGGTGTGTTTTTTTGCCTAGCCCTGGCACAGGGCTAACCCTGGCAGGTGGTTGGTTGGTTGGTTGGTTGGTTGGTTGGTTGGTTGGTTGGTTGGTTGGTTGGTTGGTTGGTTGGTTGGTTGGTTCGTTCGTTGGTTCGTTGGTTCGTTGGTTCGTTGGTTCGTTGGTTGGTTCGTTGGTTCGTTGGTTCGTTGGTTCGTTGGTTCGTTGGTTCGTTGGTTCGTTGGTTCGTTGGTTCGTTGGTTCGTTCGTTGGTTCCTTGGGTCGTTCGTTGGTTCGTTGGTTCGTTGGTTCGTTGGTTCGTTGGTTCGTCGGTTCGTTGGTTCGTTGGTTCGTCGGTTCGTTGGTTCGTTGGTTCGCGGCTCGGGACAAAGGCTTGGGATGGGTTCAGGGTAGGTTTAGTGTAGGTTTTGGGTAGTCCGTTTAGGGAAGGTTCAGGCCCGGCATCGTTTTAACATGCTCAGCATCGTTTTCAGCGTCCTCAGCATCACCAGGCTTTGGTTCAGGCTGGGTTTAGGGTGGGTTCCAGGTTGGCTGAGGGTTGGCTCCGGGTGGGTTTCAATCCTGTTGAGAGCAAATTTGGGGGTGGCTGTGCTTGCGGCAGATGGTTTACTGCTGGTTTACGGTGGGGCTTCTTGGGGTTGGTCTCGGGTGGGTTTAGGGCTGGTTTCGGGTGGGTTTAAAGTCAGCTTCGGCCATGGTTGTGTTTAAGCGCACTTGGGTGGTTTAAGGTAGGTGGAGGGTGCCACCTACCTTAACCCACCCTAAACCCAGCCTAAACCAAAGCCTGGTGATTCTGAGGACGTTGAAAACGATGCTGAGGATGTTAAAACGATGCCGGGCCTGAACCTACCTTAAACGGACTACTCAAAACCTACCCAAAACCCACCCCAAACCTTTGTCCGTTAGTGTCTTCTTTTGTGCACGCCAGGCTGTGCCAGGGTTAGGCTAATGCCAGGGCTATGCAAAAAAACACCTCAGCCTGTTTTGTTTGGTTGTTTTGTGTTGTTTGATTCGTTTTTTTTTTTTTTTTTTTTTTTTTTTTTTTTTTTTTTTTTTTTTTTTTTTTTTTTTTTTTTTTTTTATTATTATTATTATTATTATTATTATTATTATTATTATTATTATTATTATTGTTATTATAATATAATTTTAGGTTGCTTGTTTTGTTTGTTTGTGTTGTTTGTTTGTGTTGTGTGTTTGTTTTGTTTGTTTGCTTTGTTTTGATTATTTGTTTGTGTTGTTCTGCTTGTGTTGTTTGTTTGTTTGTTTTGTTTGTTTGTTTGGTTTGCTTTGTTTAGTTTGTTTGTTTGTTTTGCTTTGTTTGCTTTTTTGTGTTTGTTTTTGTTTGTTTGTTTGTTTGTTTGTTTGTTTGTTTGTTTGTTTGGTTTCTTTGTTTTGTTTGTTTGTTTGTTTGTTTGCTTGTTTGTTTGTTTGTTTGTTTGTTTGCTTGTTTGCTTGTTTGCTTGTTTGCTTGTTTGTTTGTTTGTTTGTACGTTTTCTTGCTTGCTTGTTTGTTTGTTTGTCTGTTTGTTTGTTTGTTTGTTTGTTTGCAGTGCGTTCTTGTGTGTGTGCTTGTGTTTTTAGACGGTACACTTTTTTGGGTGGTTTTAACCGGACGCCAAAAACAGTACCCATGTCAGAGTACCCCAATTTGCACACATACGTGGACGCTGTGGTACAACTGCGATTCAGCCGGTACTCCCAAAGGCAAGTTTCGGACTGTACCAAATGAGCTTCACCACAGTAACAGCCAATGGGCTTACTCGGTGGTTCCCAACCATCCCCTTCGGTTTTAGGTTGTTGGCTTTTAGGTTTGGGGTTTTGCCGGTTTTTAGGTTTTTAGGTTTTTAGGTTTTCAGGTGTTTCGGGTTTTTAGGCTTTTCGGGTTGTTAGGTTGTTAGGTTTTTCGGGTTTTCGGGTTAGCCCAGTTCACTCGTGTGATCTTCAGGTGAACCGCGGGGACTTGCCGGCCGCGCTGCGGATCTTCGAAGCCGAAGGTGGGTTCGAGTCCAGGCGTAAAGGGAGCCCAAAGGAAAGTGTCGTTTATTGTCACAACCCCCCCCCCCCCCGTTTTGATGTGATTTATTGTCAAAACCCCCCTTTTGACACAAAGCCGTGTTTCCCCCCTGTTCTTCTAAGCATCGGCTTTGGCCGAGTTAAGGCGAGTTTTGTTCAGGGGCTCAGGGGTGATGTTTTGAGAGGACATGTAGGGAAGCCGGTGGGCCGTTTCTCAGCTTCCTTCTTTTCTCAGTTCCCAGCCAATATGCTTCCTCACACTTTTGAGCTTTTCACAATTAGATTGGGACTTTGTTTCAGAACCCACCAAAAGTTGCCGCTAGGAGCAAGGCATTAGCGGACCTCTACGGTTTGTGGTGATATTTTCGTGCTTTGTTCTTTGTTTGCTCTCTTTTGCGTTTGGCCTGCTGTTTTGCCTCGTTTGAATTGATTATTTGATGTCTTGTGTTTATCCTTTGTGTGTTTGATTGTTCTTGGTTGGCTTGATTTTCTTGTCGTCGTGTGTTTGGCTGTGTTGCTTCTCATGATGGTTTTGTGTGCTGGATTTGTCCACGGCTCTTGTCTTCTTCCGTCTTTTTGCTTATCTTCCTTGTTGTGCAATGGCTGTTTTCGCCATTTTTCCTTGGCCTTCTTCCTTCTTTTCTCACCCTCCTCCTCCTCTTCCTTCCCCTCCTTCTGCTTGAAAGCTCCCCACTTCCGTAATTGTAGAACAAAAGGTTATGGATGATCATCGACCCGTTGGGGAACTTCGAGATTCCTGGACTAGGAGATTAGACCACTGGGCCGAGCACACGATCTGTTCCGCGAGGCGTGCAGGTGTGCGAGATCGGGTCCACACGCAAGGACATGCGAGCTGCACCCCGGCGACAGATACGACGGCTACACCCTTTGCGGTTTCCCCCTTTGTGGGCTTCTTTCATTGGGGGACCCCTCTTGGTTGGTGCATGATTATATGGGTATGGATCAAAATTAGGGCAGGGGGCGGCAGGTTTTAGTCCATGTGTCCATGTATCAAGGCAAGCCATTTTGGGGTTACGCTATGTTTGACCCGCAGGCAGATTGAATCCTTTGGTTCTAGGAAGGTTCCTCTCGGTGGTTCATTTGGTGAATGATTCAGCTTTGGTTCCTCAAATTCACATCCACCAACGCTTTGGTCTCCAACTAAAATTTCACCTCCACCTCCAATTGCTGGCCTCAGTTTTTCATGCTGTGGCTCACTGGCCCAGGGTCCAAGTGGCGTTTTGCGAAGTGCCGTACAGGGCCATTGGAATGAATCACTCCTTCCATGCACAAGGCAACCTCCAAGAGGAATCAACTTGAAGGGGATTCAGGTCCGGGAGCCCATGGAGCGCTGGGAGATCGATCCTGTTCCCTTTCAAGCACTGTCCAAAACGGGTCTCAATTAAAAAGAAAACAACAACAAACACATCCTGAAATAAATCCGCACCCATTGAAAAGCACCCTTGACTTTGGTAGATTTCGGGGCAATGCTCGGAGACGTTTTTGCGGACAACGAACAGATCCTGCACGCATCCGGCGGATGCACAGCAGCACACACTCAGCTGTGCTGAGTTTTCCGATGATGTGGGTTTGTCTCAAGCGGAACCCGCAAAAGGAAGTGGTTTTCCTCTAGATATCCCTTGAAAGCAACCCAAGAAGGGTGGCCTCAAGAAAGAGACACACACACACACACTGACCCATGTATGGTGGCTTTGGGATTCGTGCCGAGGTGGTGCATGTGGGCAAGGAGTGCGTGCTGGATGCAGATGTTGCCTCGCTCCACTGCATCTGGGAGGCGCCGAAATTGCAGGAGGAAGCCCCAGCCAGCGGCCACAAGGTCCAAGGTTTACCTTAGAACCTCAGCGCGGGGGGGGGGGTCCTAGAAGACAATTTTTCCTTTCAATGGGACCCGGTCCTTGGTGGGTTCCATGTGTTAGTGGACCAGAGGGTACCAGTTTTACCCGTTTTGGTTAAAACCAAATACAGAAACCACCCAAAGGTATCGGAGCCCTTTTGAAGGGGCTCCCTTTTTATGCGAGAAAGAGATGGAAAGAGAGTTAAAAAGGCAAACCCCGCATAGGTTGACCCGACTTTGAGATGCATATATCCCAACTTGCGTCGCGTCGCTTCTGGATGGCGTTGAAAGTGAAACCAACAGAAACAAAGGCCATTTGGCGGGGCCTACTCCATGTTGGACAAGTCACCCTCTAAGTCACCCTCTAAGTGGCAGGTCCCGCTGAAAACAATGACCCCATATTTTTTTTATTTTTGTTTTTTTTGCGGCGGTAGGGTTTCCCTTCCAACGGCGCCCTTTCAGCTGCCCGGCCACCGAATTTTGGTAGCCGGGCGCGCAGGCGACATCCTTCCAACTGGAACGGCAGCAGTGCGCCATCGATTGCGTGCCTTGGACGGACATGAGCGTGTCCCCCCTTTGGATTTACCATATATATATATACACATATAGATAGATATGTATATATATATATAGTGGGGGAGACCACGATTTGGTGGGTAATGGTAAAATAAAAGGAAACTTTCAAGGACTCCCCATTTTGGTGGGTTTTAAAGGGAGACCGAAAGGAAGCCAATCATTTGGGCAGCCCCCAAATCTGGAGAAACCCACCTAGCCATTATATGTTACGGCGAGCTCATCAATTCCAAGGGAGAACGAGCTGACCATGAACATTGTTTACTTGGGGATCCCTTGTTTGAGGTTTTGGAATGATGGTCAAAAGTGCAGATTATATGGCGATGAGTATGGTTTGGGAAGAGGAACACCCTCAATTGCGGCACATAGACCCTTAAATGATGCCCCAAACAAAATTAAGATTCATACCCACGTACAACGCCGAATGTTGGAGAAACTCGGTGCGGTGTGATGGTTGAGGGGGGGTTGTGGTTTGGGGGTGCTATCAACTGGTTTGTCACTTTTCTAGGCTAATTCGGAGTTGGAGTGGAAAAGCTAAAGCGGTGCCGTGAGCTGAACATCCCCGGGTTTAGGTGCCATAGGTGTGCAAAAGAGATGGGTCAAATACACAGGTACTGTGCTAGGAACAAGCGGTCCCCCAACAAAACAACAGCTGACCGAATTCGAGGATAGGGCACATGCCCAACCAGCGGCAAGTAGCTTCCTTTGCAGGGTTTCGGGTGTATGTTGTATATGCCTTACATTCCAGCAATCTTTTGCGATTCAAGTTTGGTTTTTGTCACCAGGTTTTTGGGTGCATAGGCCAGACCAGCAGGTCAGCTGTTTGAATCTGTCGCTATGGGAATGGAAAATCTGGATTTTCCAAACCCCATTTTCACTCAGACATGAGGTTTCTCTCCATTTGGATTTGGATCCTGCCCGTCTTTTTTTTTCAGGTGGAGCAGGAGGAGGCTGGCTTCAAGAACAGGCCCGATGGGTGGTGGCGTGGCTCCAGTTTTTTTCATGTACCCCTTACTGGGCGGTTTGGATTGGTGGCTTGGGGATTTGAACCCCACCCTTTGAAACCGAATGGGGAAGGTCTGCCTGATCCAAACCACCAAACCAAACCAGCACCTAAACGGATATTTTGTCCCAAGCTGGTTGCACAGCCCACAGTTGGACCCGCCTTTTGGGTTGTTCAGGGAAAAGGCACAGGAGCGCCACTCATCTTGAGGGTCCCGACATCAGACGGAGTTCAAAGCACCACCCAGTGGGCGGAGGCTTGCCATGTTAGGACCCATACGTCGCCCCTTTTGTGCTGAATTGAAGGAATGACCAGAGGGAGTTTCTCGAGTTTGGAGACAGACCCATATTATGGGCTGCGTTCTTTTTGAGGGCACCCTTTTTTGGGATTGGTTTAAAGAGCAACCCAAAGGACACAAACACCAACCATTTTGAGGGTCCCCCTATTTTTGTACACAAACCCAACGGGGGAACCGGTGTTTTTTTCTATTACTAGCCCCCGGATCCCTCAATGAGTCTCTCCTTGAAAAGGGGAACCCCCCCCCCCAACAAAAATAAAATAAATAAATATAGGTATATATATATATAAACTTCATACACAAATAAGTCTATAAAATAAATAATTACATAAATATTCAAAATCAATACATACACTGATAAATGACTAAGTAAATACGTGTTGGTTGAACCAAAAAGGGTTCCCCCCCAAGAAAGACGCCCGGTTTTCTGCAGGCGGGTGCCACCCTGGAAGCTGAGCTACACGCCACAGCCCACCGCAGACGCGGTGCTGGCGAGCAGGCGGTGACGGGCCCCGTTTCATGGGGCGGGGGGCGGGGGGGGGGGAAGTAGAAGAGGTGAAGGAGAAGTGGAAAGGGTTGGGGTGGGGAAGAAGAGTGGTGTGTGGTTGTGTGTGGTTTTGTGTGTGTGCGTGTGTGTGTTTCAGAACCGATTTGCACGGGGAGCCATGGGACGGTTGTGGCTGGGCTTGCTGGTTAATGATCCAACCCGCTGCTTTGACACGTTTCGGGACAGCTGCCCTATTGTACTGCTTCCGCTAGGAGGATCGGGTTTTGTTGACTTGGGAGCAATTGTTTTCAGCCGTTGTGGGTGTGTCTTAAAATGGCAAGTTTCCTTTTGGTTTCCCTTCCAAACCAGTGAAAAAGGAGTACACTCAATGGAAGGCACCCATTTCAGCCTGTATTTATATATATATAATAGCAAACCACAGCTATCATTTTCTAGCAGCCAAGTCCTTCTGCTTAAAACAATGGTCGCACTTGCCTAACAGCCTTTGGCCTTTTCTAGTCTTCCCATGTGTCTCAGTTTTAGTCAGAGGGTACTGGTGAACCTTTCATTTCCATGTCCTGATTGAGTTGGCAACCAGGAAAACCAACGGAGCAGCGCCCAAGCCCCCAATTGGCCATTTTAATGTCTGGTTCTACTACCCGGCTTCCTAAGGTCCTAGCGGTTTAGAGTAAGGCCAAGATTAGCTTTTAGCACCATAAACCTCATTGGGGTGAAGCGGGCGCTGCTCAATCGAACTGGGCTACCGACAGGAAGCACCGGGTTGCCATCGCCGTGCCCCCAAAGAGAGAGGCGTAGGGCTGATGGCCGGAAGTTTGACATCGAGCAAGGACCTCACAATGAAGATCCGGAAATTGGGGGATGTCTAATTTCCGGCTTGTGAATCATAGAGAGCAATTTGCCCACTCGGTGTCACTGCTCTAAAGCTCACTATGTGTCAAAAACAGCTTTTTTGGGGTTTTGGCGATCTTTGTCGGATGGCTTGGGAAACCAAGCATCATTTCGGCCGAGTTGCCCGAGTCGGTGCTCGGGTTCGTCCCCTTTTGGGAGTGCAACTACGTTCGGATGGCTTTAACCGGAAACGCCAGGACTCCGACCCAGGGCTCCGTTTTGGGAAAAATCAAACAGAAGGGGCCCAAGGATGTTCTTTCAGCCAAAACCACTTTTTTCCTCCCGTTGGAGTGTTTGGGCAACACGCAGGTGTCCAGCCACTTGGGCCCCTTGTTTCAGGAAGCATTCAACTACAACTTGTGCTGGGGAATCCGTTTTCCAACCCCCGATCTGGTTTTCTGACATCCATTTTGCCTTTTGGTGTTCGCAGACAAGCAGCTTGGGTTGATACTGCAGAAACACCGAACAGGATTTGCACTTGCAACGCTTCTTCACAGGAGCGCGAAGTTTTGGGCGCAGTCTCAACATGTGCCATGCTCATTTGCCAGGGTTGCTACTGGTGGTCATGGCGGTTTCGGAGGCAAGAAGTCCTTTGATTTTCGGATGTGCAAACGGGCCCCCCTTCGGCCGATGGAGCGGGCGACCGGGGCCTGAGAGAACGAGGGCTCTGCGCGGTACGGCCCAGGTTCGGCAGGAGGGCTCCAACGGAGATCGCGAGATGGCAGCGTCTCGGCCAAAGGGGCTGGACAACTCTGAGTCATTCAATGGTGCAAAAGATATCGGGTCCTTAAAGTTTAACATTGCGATCGGTCCTCAATATTACTTTTGGGTGTGTGTTTTTTAAAGCCACCATTTAGCTCTGTTGAATGTGGGACTTAGTATAACTGGTTCAGAGATGGCGAGCTCACGAGATTTTGTAGTGTGGGTGGGGTTGGGCAGGTCATGGACCTCTTGCGGATTTGGAACGACCATTGTAAGAGTTCCTATGGAGGGATGAGGCACAGATTTGGAGTTTTGATCACACACGCTTGACGGCTCTCCCACGCTCGGGCAGCGGCTTTCAATGGGGTTCCTGGGGTAGGGGGTCAGGGATCTGGTTCAAACATCTGGAACTTTGAACATCCCCCCCTTTTCATCCCCTTAGCATTGGTGGTTTCCATGTAATCCACTAAAAGTTATTCTCTTTTAGCAGGGGATCAAAAAACGGACAGCCCAGGTTCGCACCGAAGAGTGGTCCAATTCCGATGGCTGGTCACTTCACAGCAACCAGGGGACCAGCGGGCAACATTCTGTGCCACGGTTCGCGCTCCATTTTGCTGAGTGAACCAGATAATTTCATCAATCAACCAGTACTTGGGCTGTTTCCGGCACGGTTCAAGTTGCCTTTTCGCTTTCTAGAGCTGACGATTTACCTGTTTGAGCCTTTTACCGAAGAGCTGAGATACATCGCTGGTGCCCCACGAAACTTTGGTGCATTTTGCTTGGCTGTTAGGACATTAACTTTTTGCCAACTAATGGGTTTTCCATTAAACCACTAAAAGTTAAACTTTTAGCAGGGGAGCAGAAAGCAACCGAGGAAAGGCCAGGGATCCCCGAACCGCGCAGATTGCTTGGGGCCGGATTTGGTGGGGTCCAGTCTGCATTTGTTTTTTCAGGCGGCCTTCCATATGGCTGGCTTCGAGGCTGGGGAGATGTGAGACATCGCCCTGGGGTCAGGGATATGTGTTGTTTTTCCTTTCTTGTTCTTTTCTTTTTTTGGGGGGAGATGTTTTGTGCTGTTTTTTTTTTTTTTTTGGGGGGGGGGAGGGAGGGGGTATTTTTGTTTTCTCTTGTTTTGGGGAGGGGGGATGCTCTGAAAAAAGGTGCAAGATCCTGTGGTTCTCACCCTCGAGTCATTCTGACTTGTGGAGACACTCGGGTTTTGCGGCTGCTTGCGATGTGAAGGGATTTGATGTGGTAAAGTTACGTCATGATGGCCCCCTGCAGAACTCTAAGGCGGTTGCTTCCTGGTCCATTCTTTCCAGCCATCGTTCTTTCATCAAGAACCGGATCCGTTTCCCGTTTCAAAGGAAGTTTTCTAGAAAGGTTCGGATCCCTGGAAAGAATGGACATGGTTTTGGTAGCACTAGAAGAACAGGTTGATCTTTCGGCCTGTCAACAGGGAAGCAGCTGGGGGGAGGTGTTTCATCAAGTGAGGTGAACTTCAAGCAGGCAGGGGACCCGAGGTAAGAAAGAGCTTAGCTTCGACAAACACGATTTTTCAATTTGTACCCTGGTCGCAAAACCGATCCTTCTCAGTGGCACTGGGCAGTGATCCTTTACTTATCGGGGTTTGGCTCTTCCCTTGATAGAAAACACCGCCAAACAAGGGGTACCAACTCAAAAAAGACGAGTCGCCCATGTCAACTCCTTCGATGCCTCTAGATGTCCTGACCCTAGTCGCCTTAAAACTGATGGCTTCTTGCAAAGCAAGGTGGTTCTTCCGGCCCTCCCGTCGCTAACATGGAACGCGATGTTTCGGTGTTTCCATGTTCGTGGGCAGGGTACAAGTCTATGGCCGCCCCCAAACGTCTAGTGGATTCATTTGGAGGCGATTCCTAAACATTTTGACCCCGAACGCAGTCCCAGTTGGGGGAAGAGATTCCGCAAATAGCTGCCAGGAGCTCCCTATGGCTCCCTATGGCTCCCTATGGCTCCCTATGGCTCCCTCCCTATGGCTCCCTCCCTATGGCTCCCTATGGCTCCCTATGGCTCCCTATGGCTCCCTATGGCTCCCTATGGCTCCCTATGGCTCCCTATGGCTCCCTATGGCTCCCTATGACTCCCTATGGATTTCTCTCTCTCTCTCTCTCTCTCTCTGTCTCTCTCTCTCTCTCTCTCTCTCTCTCTCTCTCTCTCTCCTCCTTTCTATGACGCTTGCTTTTCGGTTTTACAAGGGAATCCACACCCCGTAGTTTGAAACACCCCTCCCCCCTTTGAACTTTGGACATCCTTCCATAGAAGGTTCCCCAGTTTCCAGCTCGGACAAGGGGCCCCCCAAAAGAAGATTGATGACGGATGGGTTTTTGAGGCTTCTGATTGATCTAGCGCGTTATGTCTCGAATTGGGGACGGTCTGATATAGGATTGGGGTGTGTTTCTAGGTCCCCACAGTAGTGCTTTTTTTTTTTTTTTCTCGCTGGGAGGGTTCCCCCACTAAAATAGACAAAACAGAAAAAACTCGGGTACCAACTTTTTCTAACCTCCCTACTGGAGGACCTAGGTTTTAAAGGCTTCCCTAGCGAGGCTCTTCAGGAACGGCCTGTCTTTTGGGAGTCAGCACCCCGATGGTTGAACAGGGGTTTTGCACGTTCCACCAACCTCCCTGCCTCTAAAACCCACACAGATTGGCCTTAACCACACATGCGCGTTATATAATTACGTTATATATATACACACCGTATACATAGAGTAAATACAAACATATATATATATATGTATATATATATATACATACATATATTAACATATATATATATATATACACATATACATATTCATAGATAGATAGATAGATAGATAGATAGATAGATAGACAGACAGACAGACAGACAGATAGATAGATAGATAGATAGATAGATAGACAGACAGACAGACAGATCGATAGATAGATAGATCGATAGATCGATAGATGGATAGATCGATAGATCGATAGATAGATAGACAGATAGATCGATAGATCGATAGATGGATAGATCGATAGATCGATAGATCGATAGATAGATAGATAGATAGATAGATTTATAGATATAATAGACATACTTTTCCAGGTAGATACACACATTTGCACATATATGTCTGCACAACCCACCAAGCGCTGGGCGTTTTTGGGGGCTTTTGCAGGCCTGGGACGTGCACATGACAGACCTCCTGGAGGGCCGCACCTCCCTGGAGGCTCAAGCGCGTTCCATGGCCTGTGGCAACCAGAAGTCAGCTCTAGGGTTCATGTTTGCTGTGGCACGGGCTTAAGGCTATTATCATTGTTGTTGCTATTAGTATGGTTTTCTTTCTTGCGCCGTCAAGCTGCAATGATCAGGTAAGCGCCTCAGTTGGTGGATTGATGCTTGGGATTTGGAATTGAACCCTTGGTTGTTGTGGGTAAAACGGGAAGCCTCCGGAACACCAGCGCACCACCGGGCTCCAAACCACTCGTTTTGAGGGAAGCTGAAAAAGAGGTTAAAGGGAAACCACCAACCAGTTTCTGACTTTGATCGCCCGCCAGAAATGATGTCAAAATAATAACCCCGGTCCACTTCCGTGAAACCGTTGGAGGGAGAATTCCAACCCTTGGCATGGTAGCAACAAGCATTGATTTTGCACCCCCCTAAAAATGTAAAGATATTAAACAAAAGCAAGATACAAACACCTACTAGCACATGCCAGCAACAGTGAAGGTGGGTTGAACCTGTTTCGGAATCAGGGGCCAAATTCGCGACCGTGACCAAGAAGACAACCGCCAACTTTAGGGTTCTCGCTTTGAACAACACTTATTTTGGGTGTCGTCTTTGTTTTGCCCAAGTTTTGGCAAAAAAGAGGCCCAGAAAAATTGGGGGCCTTTTTAAAAGCCGGCTTCAAACGGCAGGTTTTTTTCAGCCTTCAAAAGACGATACCCCAGAGGGTCCCCCTTTGAAAGGCAACTGGTCTCCCAACACCCCCCTGTGCGAGGTTCCATGTTTGTGGATTCGAGTAACCGGATGGGCTGCCATCGGCACAGGGAGACCCGAAACCGATTTGTCCGATTTCATGTCCGAAACCCCGTCTTCGGAGCTCGCTAAAAGTCCGAGGCATGGTGCCTTGGTGCCTTGGGTGCCTGAGCATCGGATTCCATGGGATTCTATCGGGCCAGGGTTCCACCAAAAGGTTCTCAAGGCCCAAGCCTCAACGTTGCCAGAAGAAAACCCGATTCCCCAACAACAGCATCTTGTAGTTTGTAGTTTCTGGTTTGGGGGAAACCCGGAAGCTTATGGTTTGGACTCCAGAGGTTTGTCTTCACTGTTCTCGGCATGTTTTTTTCGTGTTTTTTTTTTTTGTGGTTCTGTTCATTTTTACTGGTCTGCAAAAAACGGGTCAGTGTTTTTTGCAAGCCCATACCAAGAGATTTTAGATGTTTGTGGTTGGTGACACGTTTGTGGCTTGGGGGAAACCTGGTCTCTCAGGCCGAAGCCTCCATCGTAGCAAAAGTTGGTCGTGCCATCTCGAGGGGCGAAAAAAAGGGCCCCCGTGGCTCCATTCTTCGGATCTCTGAATCAAACAAGTGTAGACTCTACCCAGCAAATTTAGCCAAAAACATTATTAAGCAAATCGAAAAAAACAACCATATTTCAACATTTCGGCACATCACAATTTCAAGAGTTTCTTTCAACTCTGATGCCAACCACTCGCAAAATCACCGCGGCTCCAAACGCAAAATTTTGGGTAGTCAGGCCCCTCGCTGCACACTCAGCTTAGGCCAAAATGGTTTGATTTGCCCAATTCGGGCTTTGGGGCTTTGGGGCTTTGCGCTTGTATCTGGGCACCTTCCGGTGCGGAGTTCGGCGCTTGATCTCTAGTCTCCATGTGCCCTGCCGCGGACTTGAGGTATCACCGGAATCGCAACCCTGGGGGGTTGCGACGGGTGGCACCCAAGGTTTCTTAGAGCTCCATTTGGCTGTGGTTGTCAAAACCGATGGTACCATTTTGGGGTAGGTGCACCACCCATTTTAGTCTATTTTAGTGGGGATGTTCACTGGGGGTACGGGCTTTTGACCCATGGCCATTTGGGCGTGTCTTTTTTTGGAGTTGGTACCCCCTTTCTGTTGGAAAAGCTACCCTCAAGAACCAGAAAATCAAATGCAAAACCAGCCGATCGCGTGCCAGTCCTTCCGCGGTGCAGCCTTTGTGGGGGGCTTCAGCTATGCGGACACCCTGGACTCTGCCAAGGGGCGGGGATGCGCAGCTGAAAGCGGGGCTTGGGCCGTCCACGGGAGGACTTGGACTTGGCATTGGAGATTGAAGTTGCCCCCTTTTCCATAGGGTGTCCTCCATTTTCCCTTTTTGGCACTCCAAAGTGGCGATCGTTTCCATGGAAAACAACCCAGTAAATTGCAACTTGTGAAACAGAGACCCCTTGTGAAAAAAGAAACAAAAAACATTGGGCAAATCAAATAGCGACCCGTTGCGACCTTGGCATTCTGAGCACGGTTTCCTTTCTTGGGCGTAGCAGCTGACTATCCTGGAGCGACTCCAAATTGGGTCCAGGGGACCGCAGGTTGTAGTCGTCCCATTTACCAGGGCAAGCCATTTTGGGTACTCGTTTTGGCCCACCGCCAAATGGGGAGTTGCAATCTTTCCAAGTTGCTCTTGTCTCAGATGGTTTCCACTACCCTCAAAAACCCAGAAGAAAGCAACTCTTTCCAAAAGTGAGCAGCAGTGTACACCCTCGATGATCTTCGCGTGGTACACTCTTCCAACGGAAGCTGGGCTTGGAAGACTACCATGGTTGGAACTAGGCATCTATGTATGGGGATGTCCCTTCTTTTCCGAACCCCCCTTTTCAGTTAGCTTCTAAATTAAAAGGCTTCTTTGAGGATTCAGGATCGCCCTCGTTTCTTTCATAGTCTGTTTCTAAACTTTAGAGCCTCCGGCTCAGTCCGCCGACATTGTCCTCTCCCTTTTCTCCTTCTTCCTATCTCTCTTGTCTCCTCCCCCGTGTGTTCTGTCGTCCTCTCTCCCTCCCTCTGCTCTCCATCCTCCCCATCCCCCCAAGCCTCTCTCTCCTCAATCTCCCTCTCTCTGTCTCTCTCTCTCTATCTCTCTCTCTCTCTGTCTCTCTCTCTCTCTCTCTCTCTCTCTCTCTGTTTCTCTGTCTCTTTCTGTCTCCCTGTCTCCTTCCTGTCCACGCCCCTCCATAGAAAAAAGGGTACCCTTATTCCAACCTCTCTACTGGAGGACCTAGTCTCTCTCTCTCTCTCTCTCTCTCTTTCTCGCTCTTCCTCTCTGTCTCTCTCTCTCTCTCTGTCTTTCTGTGTCTCTGTCTGTGTCTCTCCCTCTCTCTCTCTCTGTCTCTTTCTCTGTCTCTTTCTCTGACTCTGGCTCTGTCTCTGTCTCTGTCTCTCTCTCTCTCTCTCTCTCTCTCTCTCTCCCCCTCTCTCTCTCTCTCTATCTCTCTCTCCCGCTCCCGCTCTCTCCCGCTCTCTCCCTGTTTCTCTGTCTCTCTCTCTCTCTCTCTCTCTCCCCCTCTCTCTCTCTGTCTATCTCTCTCTCCCGCTCCCGCTCTCTCCCGCTCTCTCCCTGTTTCTCTTTCTCTCTCTCTCTCTCTCTCTGCATTGCAGCGTCACGTCCCCCCTGAGTTGCCTCAATGTCCGGGCACTGCCCCTTCATGACCCTGAACTGTCTGCTTACTACTGGCTTCCCCTTGATTTCCCCTTCATGTCCTTGCCACGTTTCCCATGATGTCCTGGTCATGTCCCTTCCATTCCTTTCAACTCCCCCTTCATGTCCCTGGCATTTTCTCGGTATGTCCGCTTCATTTTCCATGTATGTCCCGTTCTTTCGTTGCGAGTCATTTCCCTACATCTCCCGTCGTGCCGATTGGTTTCCTTGTCCTTTGTTTCCCTTTCATGCCCTCTTCACTCCCCTTGTTTTCATTTCTGTCCCTTTCATGTCCCTTTCAGTTCCCCTTTGTTTCCCTTTCATTTTACATTGCTTTCCTGTCATGTCGACTTCCTATTTCCTCCCCTCATTTCCTTGCGCTTCCTTGCATTTTCCCTTTGCCCCCAGTATTTCCCGCACAAAACACAGTTTTCATCAAAAAACACAGAGTTATTCCAGATTTTCGGCAAAAGGAGGCAGGACACCCAAACCAGCAAAGAGCCGGCAGGGGGATTCGAGCCTGGGACCCCTGTTTTGCGACACCGGCTCCCCGAAGACTACGTTTAGTGGAACATCATCAAATTACCGCGCGGTACGCGGGGACCCCCCCCCAAATCCCGAAATATTTGACGCTATGGTAAGGGGGGGGGGTTATCCTTTATCCTCTCTTAAGTATCCGACACGCCTCGGATTAAACTTTGTTTCTTTCAGGGCTCAGGATCCCCCTCTGTCTCCAACTCCATCCATGTTCTTCGGTTTGTGTGTGTGTTTTTTTCTTCTGCTGTTTTTCTTGCGGGAAGGCCCCCGCTAAAAACGAGCCGAGGGCGGTCTCAGGGGGCGATGAGTCGAGGAGTCGTTTCAGGTGGGCGGGGTCCGTGCTCTTCAGCCCCAAGCTGGAGGCGCAGTTCAAGGCCTTCCGCGACAGGCCAGGATTGGAGGGCCAGAAGTTCCCCCCCTCCAACAGTTTCCCTATTCAATTCATAGCCACATCCAGACTGATCCGGCCTGCTAAATGTGCTCAAATCTGCTTTGCTGGTCGGAAAAATGATAGAAACTCAAACTAGGGAAACATACAGAAGTCTATAGCAGCTGATTCCCTGTCCATTCTTTTTCAACCAGCGTTCTTTTCAAAAACCGGATCTGTTTCCCCAAGGTTTTTGAGGGTTTCCTGAAAAGGAGGATCCCTGGAAAGAATGGGGAAGGACCCCTAGAGGTTTCAGAAGGACGTGGGCAGGAAGGTTCCCCCCAAAAACGAGCTTTCTATTGGTTGATTCCTTTTCCCTAGAGGTTCCTCTCTAACCCTCCTTTTTTATTGATTTGGTTGAAAAATAGAGGGCGATTCCTGGTTTACCTGGTGGTTCAATCAACTACCAGGGCCATCTATTTTCCCAAAAAGGACACCTATGCCTCCAACAGTTTCAGAAGGAAGTGGGCAGCAAGCTTCCCCAAAACGAGGCGAGTCTTCCAAAACCCGGTCGCCAGCTTCCATTGTTGGAAGGAGGGTAAGAACCGCGAATTGATTGAGGCAGTGTTCAACTCAGTTCGACTTGATTAGGGTACAGTTGGGGTGCAGAACTGGGCTTGGAACAGCGCAACTTGGGTTAAGGCTGGAAGTTGGCGCCGAGTTCTCATTTTGCTCTGTGGCCTTTCTGGTGTACTCTTCATTTCATTCTTCGGGGTGGCGGGTGGGGCAGGTGGGGAGGGTGGCAGGAGCATGGGGTGCAGGGGTGGGGGTGGTCGGGGCACTCATGCCTTTGACACATGGAGGAAAAGGAATGCGATCGTTAAACCAAGGCTGTCTCGGCGGCGACAACCCTAACAGGTGCTTAAATCATGGATTAAGCCACCTGTTCAAACAGGGGGCGGAAGCTCTGGTTGCCGAAGCGGGGTGAGTTTTTGTTCAATGGCCTCAAGCTGAACGTGGTCTCCCTGCGCCTTCCCCTCCCACAAGGCTCCGAATTGGCGAGTTATTTGGGAGTAAGGAAGGGGGCACTTTCGTTGAGCCAAGTGAATCCGATTCGCCAAACGAAATGTCACACGACAAGAGGGCAGCAGAAAAGCCACGGCCAGTTGGCTTATGTTGTTGTCTGTTTAATTTGGAAAAAGCGGAACACTGTCTCAAACATCCCCAAAAATTATATGTATTGTCCGAATTTCGCCTATAGGGGGGGACTTAACATGTAACCTCCTGTCCACTAACATGGGACCCACCAGAGGGTTTAAAAGGAACATTGTCCAAACTAGGACCCCGAAACGTCGCTCCATGGTAACGTGGACAGGAGGATGAGTGATATGTATGCCGTCGCTTAAAGAAAACCAAAAAGAAAATCACGTGGGTCCTCTAAAACGAGACGCGCCCATTGCCCTTGGCTTTGCCCTCCGTCCAGGCCGGACTCCTTTGCACTGGGCATTTGCAACGGCCCGGCGCCCAAGGGCTTCATCGACGCGATTTTCCGGTTGCTCCCCTGCAGATTAACGGAAGGAGCAAACATCAAACACGCATGAGAAGAGGAAACTGTTCTGGTAGATGGACCCCCCCCCTTTTGGGTTCCTTCCGTTATTTTGCGGGGGGAGTCCTTTTTTTGGGGGGCCCGCCAAAATGGGGAAGTTGGATCCCTGCACATGGCCGCTTTTTCCTTCGGTTTCTTTTATCAAGAGAAGCCAGAGTTGGGAAATATACATATTTTCCGCTTTTTGCCCTTGGGACAATCCATTTGAATCATCATTTGAATTCCCCACAGTTCTCAGAACACCACAAACCACGGTTTGGGTTGCCAAGGTTGGGCCGTTGACGGCTCGTAGGCCCTAACCTTTTTGTTTGTTTGCCTTGCTTTTGTTTTTATAAAACTCCTCGTTTGCCTTGTTTGCCTGTTTTTGCTCCTTGGTTGCCTTGTTGTTTGTAAAACAGAATCCGTGGTTGCCTGTTAAACGAGTCCTTTTAAGCAGCCGTATTTCATTTTTTGGCCGAGTGAGGGAGCCATGACCATGCGCCGACAGGAATTCCGACCGCGTCACGCGCAGCTGCCCTCTAGAGAAGACACGCCCCTTTTGGGTGTCTGAACGGGAGCCCTTTTTTCCCGTAGTGTTCCTCGAAAAGGCTGTGTTGGAACAGCGCCAAGAGCGCCAACCAGTGGGGTGGTTCTCCGCCGAAGGCAAAATTGTCGAACTAGAAAGCACAATCAAACAACAAGCACGAACACGAAAACAAAACACACGAACAAAAACAACAACCAGAAACAACCACAACAACAAGCAACAAACGACACAAATACTCTCTTGAGCCGCGGCCTTCCCACCTCCATGGCGTCTATTTCAAGCGGACGTGAACCTACCTGGTTTGATGCGGGTTAGATTCCTTTTGCCACTTCAAAACAAACAAATACCCAGTGGAACCAATCGCAGATGCTTCATTTGGGTCCCCCCGTCTTTTTTGGGGGACCCCGCAGAAAAATCCTGGTTTTCGTTGTGGTGTCCTTCAAACCAACCCCAAAAGGGAACCAATTCAACAAGAAAAGCCAGACTTTCCTGGTGGTTTCCCTTAAAACCACCCAAAAGGGAGCCAACTCTCAAACACAGCCAACCATAGCCAGACTTGAGAGTTCCTTGTGAAAAAAAACAGTTGGGTCTCCGTCTTTTTTAGGGGATCTCTCAAACATCGTGTTTTTCGTTGTGGTGTCCAAGGGAACCAACTCAACAAGACAAGCCAGACTTTCCTTGTGGTTTCCCTTAAAACCAACCCCAAGCAGGGAGCCAGCTCTCAAACATAGCCAAACATAGCCGGACTTGAGACCTTCCGGACGTGAAGAAAGCAACTTGGACGGGGGATACCAGAAAACGCCCTCGGGAAAAACTTCAGGCTGCCAGCTGTTGGCGCTGCTGGGCTGGGTGCCTGGCGCGCCGGGCGGCGGCGCCGGCAGGTCCCTGAGTCCCTCTGTTCCGGAGCCGGCCGCGCTGGGGGGCGCTGGAGGGCTGGAGGCTTTTAGGTGTTCAGGCTGAAGAATGGGGAAGGAATCCCTAGGTTTCAGAAGGACGTGGGCAGGAAGGTTCCCCCAACAACGAGTTTTCTAGGGGTTGATTCCTTTTCCCTAGAGGTTCCCCTCCAACCCTCCTTTTTGGTTGGGTTGCTTAAATAGAAGGCGAGTCCGGGTTTATCTCGTGGTTCAATCATCTACCAGGGCCACCTATGGCTGGAGAGCTGTGGCTTGTTTTCTTGGAGGGGGGGGGGCATTTGAGTCCGGTCGGGGATCTCAATCCTGTTGTGGTAGGATACTCGGACAGGGGTTGATTAAAATGGTCCGTAAAACCATGAGGGGTGACCATAGTCGGAAACCACCAGACAAGGTTGGACCAAAATAACAGAATGGGACACATACGGATGTTTTCCCCGACCTTGCCACTTTTTGGGGCAGGTTGCTGAAGCACTCCGGCGAACTGATTGCAACATGTGCAAAATGTGGGAGATGCATCGGCAAGGCACATGCGGGACGCACCTCCCCTGACAGCAAAAGCAATGTTCACACGCCTACCAAAGGGCTTCTACTTAAACGTTATGCTCCAATGTTCCACAATCAAAATGTGGGTGGGTGAAGATGTGGCGGCAGGCCCTGGTTTGAATCGTGGAGGTTGATCAAAAGGTCCGATGAACGTGGGGTGACCATTTGGGAACCCACCAAAAAGATATGAGTCTCACCACATGGGAAAAGTTACCCAGGGTCATTTTGGGGCCGAAGGGAATATTGATCAACCCCAAAATCTCGTGCTCCCTTTGTGTGTGTGTGTGTGTTCCCTGAAATGATGGGTAACCCCAGAGCCCCTCTTTTTCTTGCTGCTTGTCTGATTCTGATACTCAATTCCTCAGTTCCTGGACTTTTTGGGTTTGGACCATTTTAGTAAGCAACAAGTTCGGACTTTTTTTGGCCCATGCACTTAGGACGTGAGACTAAGGGTCTTTTTAAGTCTGTCTTGAAATAGAGAGAACCTCTAAGATGGTGAATTTCCTGTTGATTTCCTTAAAACCAGCCTAACAAGGGTACTATCCAAAGAAGACACACTCAGTTTACAACCTTTTTGTTTAGCGGGGTGGATTTTTTTAGGGGTAGGGTCTGCAAAATTGACTCTAAGTGTCCATGATGCAGTTGTAGGGGGAATCCCTGAAAACGACCACCTGATTTGGGATGAAAGTCCCTGAGCAAGGCTTGTCTTTGAAGGGTACCCTCTCGGGTCTGTTCCAACTTGTTTCTCCAGCTGCCTGGCTTTGCGCACGGTCCCTTGCTACTCATTGGGGATGGCGTGGAGGCTGGCAAGGTTACTTGGCCCCGAGGAGAACTTCACCCAACAGGCAGTGGCTCTCATGCTGCGCTTTGAGAAGATGTTCCGGCCCTTGTGGCCTACTTGGGGCCTACTTGGGCGTAACCTGGGAGCCCGTGGTTGGCTTTCAGACTGTTGAAGGCTTGGCGTGCGAGCCTCGCAAGTCTCATTCTCTCTCTCAGCGCTGGAGTGGTGGTGACGCCTTGCCGACTTGCATGACGGACTTGTTTGAAGCTCAGAAGTCAAAGTGAAGACACCAGTCCCTCGCTGTGGGCGCCAGAGCGCTCCTCTACCGAAGCCAGCTCGCACTAAAATTCTGTGACTTCTTCATCAACTTGCAGAGAAGGTTCCCTCCAATCCTTTCCTGGCCTTTGGTTTCTTCCCAAAGTGTTGCCTTTTGGTGTCTGATGTACCGGGTTCATCCTGGGCGCATTGGCATTGACCTCTTCTGCGTTTGTCTAATGAAGAGCTCCCGAAGTGGGCGAGTAGCCGTTGGTTCCCCTGAGAAAAACAAGCGAAGAGCGGTTTCCCTCAGGAAATCTGTTTTGGATTGGTTGTTCAAGGCGCGTCCTTAGTCTCATGCAAGATGATTGCTTTTAGTTGTGGAGTGATGTTCATGGACTACGGAATACGGTTGTTCTGGTTCCGGCAAAAGGCCCCCCCAAGCGCCAACCATTTGTAGGATGACCACGGGTGGTTCTGGGCGAGCCAAACGATCGGATCTTTTGATGCTTTTGAGGGTGCAGCAAGCCAGGGCGCGCAAGCCTCCTGCTTCACCCCGGGAAGGGGTTACTTACTCTCTGGATGGTTGATGAGGGACTGCAATAGGGGCTGAAGTAGGGGTGAATTGCAGGAGGGGGCGCCCATTTAGGTGATTCATGTCCATCAACCACTTCGGAGGTGGAACCTTCATAGCCAAGTATTTGGGGAGTGCTGTCCGGGGAAATCGTGAACCCTACGGGCTCGGAATGATTCGCCAGCATCGGAACCTCAACACAAACACGAATTGCTTGCTTTGAGACCGCTTAAAGCATGTTGCCCTTCGGCCAAAAAAAACGAAACGATCAAACGATCTCCTTACTGGCCAACAAAGTGCCCAACTTGATGTGGCTGTGGGTGAAAATCAAGCCACCAGAAAACCGCAGGTTTTTAGTCCACGTTTCCCTTTGCCAGGGTTCTATTTTGGGTACCTATTGTTGACCCACAGCCATGCTGCATTCCTTTGAGGCTGACCGCATGTTGCGATCAAGCTTGCTCCGTCCCGAGTCCTGCCCTTGGAGCAGCAGCCGCGCTTCGTGCACAACAGGCGCTGCAGTGGGGGGTCAGACACACCTGGGCGCCCAAAACGTCTGTAAACCGACAAATACCTGCACAGGTTGGCAGTTTATCCAAGTATTCATAGGGCTTCGCCCATCCCCACGGGTGCATAATTTTTTGTTCGAGTTGTGGAGGGGCGCAAAGTTTCAGCGGTACGCATGAATGACACATGCGAATGAGCGGCGCCCAGAACCGATTCTTGTTGGCCAGTTTAGTGGTTAGTTCTACTCCTGGCTTGCAAGGCTCCTATGCATATAGATACATTATAAATCCATCTAACCGCCTGAGTGGAGCGCAAAGTGAATGAGGTTCGCTCAAAGTTGTTGGCAGTCGATGGTTCATTTGGGAGGGACATGAGGGACTCACTCAATTTCCCCACAAAAGCCGGGGGGTCTCACGAGTTTTCCGGCTCAAGAGTTGGAATGTGGATTGGTTGGGCATCAGGACATGCCTTGACCGTTTGGTTCTGTCAGCCGATGTCTTGAATCAGGTAGGAAGGGTCAAACCCGAACCTGGGACCCGGGACTTTCCAAATGGGGTCTTCGCCAATCCGGGTAGCAAATGGGGGGTACCCCTTTCTGGGTCTGTTTTACAGGGAACGAACAGGACAACAAAGTTTTTTGGGGGTCCCCCAGCTGGTTGGAAGGGAGCTAAGGAGCTGGGGGTATCCAATTGTGTCATTCAAGAGAGAGCTAAGGTGCTACCAACAGTTTTGTAAGGACATGATAGGCGCTAAAAAAAGACAGGCCCAAATGCGAAGTGCATATGAGCCATCAAGGATGCGTCCTGACGAAAGGAGCTTCGCAACTTCACTGCGCTACCCGCCCGTTGCAAGCCACATCTATATTGGCGTGAGTCGGCACGTCGGCACTTGAAGGTGACGCTTCCATTGGCTGAAGGGAATATTTGTTTTTATGTTCCCCTGTTGGTTTTTAGGGGAATCAATTACTGATGGACATATTTTCTCAAATTTTTCAGGGGCTTCAGCAAATGGATTCGAGAACAGCCACATAGCTCACAGCGCCATCATTGAAGATGCGTTTCAGCGCATTCGGCGTTGTGAAGGCGAAGGCCAGACTGGAAGCTGAGCGTCCAGCTCCGCTGTCTTGGAACGGCGAACTTTGCAGATTTCTGGAAGGTTCCTGGCAAATTCGGGGAGGTTCCAAGGCGTTTGGGGATACCTGAGGCCATTTCTCGGTATTTGCCAGGAATCGTTTTGTGCCTTGTGCACGAGGGGTTGGTTCTGGCTTCTGTGATGATTGCCAAAGAACTTAGCCTACGCCTTAAATCGAGAATTCGACATTGGTTTAACGTTTGCAGTTCCCACTCATTCCCACAACACTCGGGGAGCTTTAACCACTGATTGTGAGCTGTTTGCCATTGTTTGGAGAGGGTTCCCTTCAACATCAACAAAACAGAGTGTCCATCAAATTTGCGAAATCTGTCCCTTCAAAAGGGCCCTCATCTACCAACAAAAGCGCGGTTTGCTCCCATTGACATCCGCGGGGTCACCGGCGTATCTGGCGGACATTGGCAGGAGCGGACGCTTCGAGTCGCGATTCTGCACAGTGAAGATCGAGAAATGCGCTGCCTCAAAGGCTCATTGGGAGGGCTCAACGACTCGAGGGAAGTACTATATGGGTTATATGGGTAACATCGTGTCCCCTGCAAATGAATTGGAATGGGTTGGGGTGTTCCTCAAAAAGGGTGAAGGAGTCATTCTCTCACTCCCCGAGTTCTGGGACTCGGACTTGACGCACTTTTCGGTTTGGGTAATTTCGGTGTGGGGCAAAATTAGTCACCACCAGGAGTTGGAAAGGATTTAAGTCCATGTTTCTTACCAGGGCGACCCATTTTGGGGTTACCCTATTTTTGACCCACACCCATATTGAGGGGCATAAACGGGTTCCGATCGCGTGCGCCAAAGGACAATCATGTCTCTAGCATCCGAAAGGAACCCATCTGCTAGAACCCATGCAACGCCCAAATATAAAGGCCTTCTGGGGTACCTTGAAACCTGGTGACGTCACAGTCATACAATAATAATACGCTGTATTTGTTTGAGCCCTTGTGTTACGTGCCCCTGAAAGGCCCCAAATGTCTAAATCTTTGCAGGGAACAGCCTCCAGAGTGGTTGGTTGCGTACATGCCCACGTGAATGATGCCAAAGACCATATTAAGAATCACACCCATGTATCCTAATGCCCTCTAGATTTGAACACTCCCCCTATAAATCCACTCGGGTTTGCCATCCCTTGAACCCCACTACCGGTAGATGATGTTCAGTCAAGATATCCGTTCTCCGGTCTATTGTCCATCTGGAAGGGACTTGGGATCCATTTGGTGTGTCTTTTTCTGAGTTGGTTCCCTCTTTTTGTGGTTTTTAAGGGAAACCAATTGGAAAACCAAAGCCATTTTGAGGGGTCCCCTAAAAAAGACACTCTCATATGTTGACCGTGGGCTCTTCTCAATAGATGGATGGCGTGGACTTGGATATTTCGCAGTTCGGGGTTTGAAAGAAAGATGAAGCGAGGGGAATAGAAACCTGTCGCATTGCCTACAACTGAGCCACTATGTTTGGGGCAGTTCCAGTGACAACGCGCAGCAAGGGACACTTGTTTGATTATTTGCATTGTTTTGAGTGGACCTCTTCGATCAAGTCTCCAGTGCCGGAAGTCCGCCGACTTCGCGCTGGCTCACGAAACCAACAAGAAGGTTGCACTTTGACTCATGACCAACATGGGGGTTGATCAAAAGGTCTGACATGGGATGACCGTTGGAGAAAACCCCTAAAAAGACAATGTTGCCGAGCAAATGGGACAAGTTACCCATGGTCATTTGGGGCCGAAGGGAATTGATCAACCCCAATGCATTCTTCACCCATGGAAGACGGTCGCTGTGAGTGGCCAGGAATGGCATGTAAGGCAACTCGAGGTTCTGAACCAGAGAGCTCTGGCTTCGGATCCAAAGCTTGAGTCAAATGGATGGCTCGTCTTTCAATCGGACTGGGACTCCCGAAATCGCAAAACGGGTTTCCCTTCAAATCTACACAAAAAAGGGGGTACCCTCAACAAAAACGACTGGCCCAAATTTGTATTTGTCCCGAGCCTTTCCGACCCCCCCTGTCTGGCTCGAGTTTCGAATCCATTTCGCCGGCTCGCCAGCTTGTGCTTTGAAGCCGGTCGGTTGGTTTCAAACCCCAACTTATTTGGAAGCCTTGTTTCGCCCTCCTGTAAACATGTCCCCTGTCCAAAGAAAAGTCGTGCAACAGTCTGCGCAATTTATGCTTGCTGGTCGGTTAGATGAAAACTGAAACTGAAACCGGATCTGGGTTTGTGTCCAAATTGGAAACGTAGCACCTGCTCTGTGTTTTTTGGGTGGGTGGGGGCGGCGGGTGTGCCTAGTATTAGTGGGGATTCATCACTTTGGGGAATATCCCCATCTTAATAAGCACGGGGTTAACCCCGATTTGTTTTTATTATTTTTTTCCGCTGCTCTCCCACGAAGTGGCATGGGACCTAACAGTTGTTGTTGTTTTTTTTAAAACCCGGAACGCCAGGTGAGCCACAATCAGAACCCGGGTAAGTGAAGGTTAGTAAGGGACGATCCCAGCCATAAATAGCTGCGGATATCCGCCTTAGTTCTTGAAGCATGGTTCTGGGTCGACCATTTTTGTACCGGGTTTTGATTGTGACTCAGGTTTCATGTTAGTTGGTCCCGGGGGGGGGGGGGTACGACACCTTCCTCGCCAGGTATGGCTGAACGGCATGGAGGGCACTCAGCCACTCGGAACGTTGTGTTTTCTTCAGAAGCTGGCTCGGTGCTTGGTTGGCTTGGTTCCTTGGTTTGGTTCCGTGGTTTGGTTCTTGTTTTGGTGTTTCGTTTGTTTGTTTGTTTGTTTGTTTGTTTTTGTGGGTGTTTATGGCTTCTTGTTTTGCATCTGTTTTTTTTGGCGAGGGGGAAGCCCTTGCCATTCTCGGTATGTCTACTGCCCTCTGTTGGTTTCAATGTTGCATTCGGCGGGCCAAGAGCAAGCCTGTTGGCGTGGAAATAGGGGCATGTCCCTTTGTTTACCAAGGCGGATCCCGCTTTGGGTGCTGAAAAACTTCCATTCTCGCGCGAGAATATGGAACTTATTTGTCCTTGTCGGCTTTTAAGGGAATATATCACTGGAAATCAAATGCTAGTTTTTGTCCAGGAGACTGAAGCAACGCCCCAGAAGATGAGCCTTCTATTTCCACGGTCCCCAAAGGGGTCTGGAGGTGAAGCAATTCTGCAGAAGGGGTATTTGCTGCATTCAAGAGAAGGTCATCCAACTCATCCAGGTCTCAATCCAATCCGGGTCAAAGAGAGAGCTTGGAGCCGTCTAAAGCTGGGTTCGACTGGACCCTTGCACGGGTTCCCCTCCAAAGAGTTGGCGACCAAAGGGTTCCAAGGTTTGTATCCCCCCAATTTGCTGGCATCTTAGTGAGGTGACCCAGTCATACTCTAACAAGTACTGGTGACGGTCATTATTTTAACTTTTTGCAAATAGCCTCAACAAGGGTCCAATTGGTTTTGGTGGAACCAGTCGCGCTTCTGGCTCGGTGATGGTTCTTCCGTCGATGGCCAACTTGGGGACATGTCCCAAGCTTCCACGAAAGGAGTCTAGTGTTTTCTCCTGTTTGCGTTGGGTCTGTCTTTTTTTGAGGGCACCCTTTTTGTGGCTTTTGAAGGGAAACCAAAAGGAACACCACCATTTTTAGGGGCTGCCCTAAAAACACACACCCGTGTTTGGTTTGGGTCCTTGCGCAGAATTTCATGTTGGGCCCCTTTTTCGGGTTCCACACTTCGGTGATGCCTAAATGCCATTTGTCATCCGCCGGGTCTGGTCTGCCTTTGGCAGCCAGGGTGAGCTAATGAAAATTAGTCGAGGTATAGCCTCGGTTTCCCGCAGATGGACGCTGTGGGTCAACTGCCCGAGTCACGTTGGTACACCAAGGTGGTCCAGGATTTCAACAAAAATCACCCCATGGAGGACCCCAACCAAGAGGTGCATTTGGAGGAGGTTTCTCTTTGAACTCAAGCACCAAACAAATGGTGCCTGCCTTTTTTCCCATGACCCCCTGGCTTCTGAGTACCTACAAAAGAGCGTGTGTGTCCATGTTGCCTTTTTCTAAGTCATCATCGTGCCGCAGCCATCTTGGAGGTGACAAGCTCACCAAAATTCCATTTCGCTAGGAGACTGCTCGTATTATACGCTGGTGCATCCGCCATTTCCACGTTTGGTGCTATTTTGAGGGTATGATGCCAAACCCTTACCTGCTTTCCAACAATCATCGAAGTGGAAAGGAGGGATTTGGAGGACTACCATGTTCTTGAAAAGGCTCCTTGTCCTTTTCCAGACTTGCTGAAAAAAAGGGGAGAACGAGTGATTTGAAGTGATTGGCGAGGAAGCGCTTTCACGTATCTCTCAATTGGTGTTTGGGTTGCTGATTTGGGGATTTGAACTCGTTCTTGTGGAAGGAAAATAGGGGTTTCCCACCCCTAACCACCAAACCACAGGACTCTTCCAAAAAAGATGAGCCAAGGGGGGGGGGGTTTGGCCATGGACCAAAATTGGTCTCCGCAATTCCATGAGCTCGTTTTCATCCGTGCGAGGGTGGGCGTGTGGATCAACCACGGCGAGGGCAGGCGGGCGATTTTTTTCGCCGCGAGTCAGAGAAGCAGAGCCGAGGGATCTGGAAAGCAAATTCTAGCGCCAGACTTTCCAGGAGATGATTCCCCATTCTTAATCGGGATCCGATTCTTTTCAGGAAACCATGAGAAGAACACAGGGGAAACAGCGGTCGGTTTTTGAAAGAACGATGGTTGAAAAGAATGGGGAATCATGCCCCTAGAGACTCATGTGTCCCTAGTTTGGGTTTCCTTCATTTTCCGACCTCAGTCTGGCTGGTGGCTATGAGTTTAATAGGGTAACACCAAGCACGAGTGGTTGGTGGACAGGTTCATCCCCGAATTCTGATGTCCACTGGTTCGGGTCCCTAATTTTCAAATTCACACTTATGTTGATCATCCTAAGCCCGTCAAGTTCCGATTCTTCCAACTGATTTCCAGGTGAAGCCAGCCATTGCAACCACCCATTGCAACCATTGCATTGTGGTTCGGATTGAACCATACTTGGGAACCACCCACTATTTCTTTCTTTTTTTCAGGTGAAGCATTGCATTATGGTTTGGATTGAATCATACAACCACCTCTTTTTTTTCAGGTGAAGCATCATTTTTCCTGCTGCAGCTTGATTTCCAGCTTAGGATTCACCCAATTCCAGGTTTCAGCTTGGGCCTGGCTTGGCTAGGTGACCTGGCAGTTCTCCTGTTGCCTTTTTTTCTTTCCGGCTAGGTGAGCTGCATTGCCTGTGCCCCACGTCCGGTCTCAAGGTCATGACTCTGACTATGTTTGTCCCCTCCCAACATGGCTTGGTGCAGATGCCTTTGAAAGACTACCCTCCCTCCCACTCACATGGCACCTGACAGGGGGTTGCACAGGTGCTATGTTGATGGAAGGAAGGGGCATTTCCGTCTGTAGAAAAGGGGTTCTGTGCACTTGGCTTTGTTAGGAGGCAGGATATCGAAGCATGGGTCAAGACTTTCCACTTCCGAATTGCAATGTCGAATAGATGCCATGCCTGGCTGTGCCGCGGGCATCAAGTTATATGGGGGAAACTGCTACCAGACAAACGCTGCCCGACGTTTGGCTCCTGGGGGTAGTTCTCCATATTTCTGGTACTGTGGAACAGGCATCAGAAGCAGTCCAGATTTACTTCAGGCCTGAAGGCCAGGTCAAGCACAAAGAAACTGCCAGGATGCACAAAGAACATAAAGGAGCCAAAACCAAAACCGATTCGGGTAGATGAAGGTTGGCAAGTATCCGCCTTCTTAATTCCTTGCATGATTCTGGGTAGACCATTTTAGTACCGGGTTTTGATTGTGACTCAAAGGTTGTTCAAGAAGTATTTGGAGATCCACTCTGTGAAACTATACTTTTTGCTCATGCCATCAGATGTGATACCACATCTACGATAAATGGAAAACCAAGAGCTTAAACAGATTGAAGTCAAGTGAATGTTATGTTCGCCGAGGCAAGTTGCCGTCTTCAAAGATGAACAGGACAAACAAGTGAAACGATATGAAACGACACACACTGTTTGATGTTGGGTGCTTGTCAAAAAAGGCGTACCACACAAATGGTGGGTTTCCTTGTAATTTCCCTTTTTATTACACCAAGGTGAAGAGGGGGCACTATCGAAAAAGCCTCCCTCGCATATGTCCCCTTGGGGCCAGGTGGGAAGACTGGATCAATGGACTTGAATGACCCCAGGCTCGATGGCTTCTCCAAGGTTGGCCCATCGGCACCAGGTCATCGTAGATGCAACCAACGCATTTCACCCATAGGTGTCCTTTTGATCGGTTGGTTTGGATGAAAATCGATGGGGTCACTAATTTAGATGGGTTTATGCCATGCATTTAAGAGGGAGACCCATCTGTTTTCCAAAAGACCGCCTATGATTTCACCATGTAAGTTGCCGTCATCACATTTTACCATGTGTGAACCAAGCGCTTGAGTTCTATGAGAAATCAAACGACTAGAACATGGGCTTGGCAACCCGGGCGGGGTTTGGACGGGCCGGTTCTTTTTCGTTCGCAGGGCACATTTCCCGGCGTCCAGCGTCTTTGAGCGGGTGAAGAAGCCGGGCGCTCGGCGTCGTCTCATGATTGCCCTGCGAAAACGTGAGGTGGACCACCCATTGCCACGTCTTCTTGGGGAAGGATGCATATATATATATATATATACATATACACATATATATATATATATATATTATACACACACCCTATTTCCAACGTGCTCATGGAAGTGGACGATCGCGAGGTTCCAAAGGAAAGTAGTCTTCCCACATCTTCCTGTCAGCTTCCATGATTGGAGGGAGGGTATCTGGTCGTACTGTTTCATGTGCTATGCGTTGTTTTCTCCGAAGTGGGACTGTCCCATGTCCCCCCGTGGGGTAGGTGACAAAGCTAAAGCGCGAGAGGCGATTTGCGACCTCGCCGATGAAGCTTCCCTACTTGGGGTTCCCTCATGTTGGGCTCGTGGATTTGATATCAGCACCCCTTAAAAAAAAGGTGGATTTTTTTTTTTTGTGGGGGGGGGGGGGAGGGGGTTATCCCTAAAACTCCGTTGATGGTTCCATTTTCCCTTTTATGGGGAAGACTAAATAAACTGAATTTGGGGGAGTCCCCACCCACCCCCCTTGTTGGTATGGGGGATCAGTTTATTCACACAAATTATATTAGCTGCGATCAATCCGGAGCTCAGGGGAACTAGCCTCGATAGGTAGATACGGTCCATGGGATTTATATGTGAAGTTGCTATCATACACGGTACGCACCGGAGGCCTTTGGTAGGCTGTCCTCCCACTAACACAGCACTTGTGGGAGAAGATTTATTTCCAGAAGGAGCCCTTTGTCAAGGGGGCGGGGTGTCTTTTTAGGTGACCCTCCAAAATGGTAGGTTCCCTCTTGGTTTTCTTCAAAGAACCAGACAACAGGGACATCAAGAAAAGCACACCCAGTGGAAGCAAACTTTCTTCTCTTGGATTCCGAGAGATCCATCCAAGGGAGCAGCTCATCCCTATGCGATACATCGACGACGACGGTGCTGCCACAGAGACGTGCCCTGGCGAATTGGAGGATCGCGGCCCACTGAACGACCCATGGCCCTGAACGAAGCACTTCCGAGTGTTGGTTCCCAAAGTCGCTTTGCCATCAGGGCTTGGAACCGGAGCTCGCTCTTTGGGAAAGCTTGCAGGTGCTCCATTTGTTTTTGGTGAGGTGACGTTTTGAGGCAGGTGGTGTTTTCACTTTGGCCGGCACCCCTTCCCACCAAGCGTGAAGCTCGCAGGCGGTCACCTAGAGCCAAAAGCAGCTGCTGGTAGAAGGGTTCCACATCTACAGGTCGAATGGTTAAAGCGTGTACGGGTGGCACCGGGTTTTATCCAGGGTCCCCCTCCCGAATTTCCGGAACCCGGTTATTCTCCTCGAGTTTCATCTAGTTAGGTCAATGCTTCAAAAACTCCTCTTGGTCTCAAGGGAAGCAACCCCGCGGTGCAGGGGTACGCTCGTGTACCCCATGTGTTCCCTTTTCGTACACGTCATGTACCACTGATATGTCCTTGTATACCCCGCATACACGTTCATAAACCTTTTATGTATTCCTTATATACCCAGTCATGTTATACTCTTCCTGCATCCCCTATATTCCACTAGCCACCTGGTGTACAGGGAACGTATGGTTGGGCCACGCATTCGCTCCAGGGTCGTCGCAGTGAGTCAATATGTCTGAGTTTGGAAGTGGCGACAAGGTCAGGTCCCACGGTTAAGGGCAACTCTGAGATCCTTCAACTTTTGGGCTTACACATGGAAACCCCCCAGGAAACCCACCCCGGTTTTTTGACCAGGATTCCTGGAATCGACTGATTCGAATTGACCGATGCGCTGCGATGCGATGCTTCGCCCGGCTCGACTCGCGAGCGGTCGCGGAGCTGCTGCACGACAGGTACCCGTTCAACCCCAATGGCTCTCCCGAGGGCATCGTTGGCCTTTGCAGCACGGAGCCTCGGAGTTTCTTTTATTTCCCAGGATGAGAACCCGAGGAGAACACCCACGTAGTTGCAACCTACGCGAAAATCCGCCTTACCATAGGTGTCCTTTTTGGTTGTTTTGGTAGAAAAATAGATGGCCCTGGTTTACCTGGTGGTTTAATGGTTACCAGGGCCATCTATTTGCCCTAAAAGGACACCTATGCGCCTTACCTTTTTTTGTCCATTCTACCTTGGTCAATGAGTGGCCACGAAAGGTGATCATCGTTATTTTCATGGCGTTTGGGCAAGTGAGTGCAATTTCAACCTGCCCAAAGAAGGCACCCTCTTAATTTCAACCAGACTTCTGGTGCCCAAAGAAAGCACCCGTTTTGCTCAGCTGAAAGCTTTGGGGTCCCTGGGCGCTGAACCCAAGGCTCCGGAGATATATTTTTTTCGAACCCGCGGCGCTTCGGCTCCGGTTTGACGGTTGGAGCACCGGAGACCTGGGCTGGAGCTTCTTTTCTTTTTTTTCTCTCGCTTTCGCTGGGATTGTCTGGGATTGCTTTTCGTTGGTTTCTTGCTTTTCTTTTGGGGGCCGTTTGGTTGCTGCCGTGTTTTTTCCTTGTTTTTCTTTTAAAGGGCCGTTTGGTTGCAAAGTGAGCTCTTTTGGGGGCCGTTTGGTTGCAAAGTCACGACCTTCGGCCATTTTTTTACGTCGGTGTGACCCTTGAGCTTGTTCAACCGTTAAAACAACCACACACGCACACCCATTTCCCTATCAACAATCATACCAGTTGAGAACTGGATGCAAAGACCAACCCCAGAGCCATGAGCCACTTCGGAGTTTCAGGCAAGGGTTTTGGAGGTATGGATGTTGTGGTATGTACGCTTCCATCCAAAACACATCCCTGAAAATGCCCTTGATTCTTGGTTTTAGATTTCCATTTTGGTCAGCTCGATTGAGAATAGATGGCATCATGGGGCTGGGAAGCCATTTGCCATCCCCGTCAATCACAATATACTGATTCCAACATGCGCTAAAAACGGGAAAACACCAAACGCACAAGTTGACAATATGTGCAATCGCAACAGCCCCGATTAGGGGAAAATCAGAGCAAGAACAACCAACACACCAAATAGCAACAATCCACCAAACACACAGACAAACACACACACACACACCAAAAGAAGACAAAACACCAAGAGGGTACACTCGGGGGCACAAAACAGCCACGGGCAGCAATTCTTGGCCGCGAACCACCAAATTCGAGGCTCGGACGGGCGGCACCTGGCCATCATGCCGCATCCAGAGCGGCTCACGTCCTGGCTGCTCGACTGCGCTTGGCCTCGTCGATGTTTCTTGGGCGTAAGGCCATGGGTTCCAAATGGATTTCGGACCTGTTGGTACTTAGCTCAGTTGTTCAGTGGCACCCTTTTTCCCTCTTTTTTGGTGACTGCCCCACTAAAAATGGTCTTCCCCAAAAAAGGGTTCCTTTTTTCCGGGGTCACTGAACAACTGAGTTAGAGAGAAGCCAAAAGGAACCAGTCTTGCCATGTTGCGGGAGCAAGCAGCTTTTTTGCAGCGAGCTCACCTGGTAGAAGCTCAAGCCATAAAGCTCCTTTACTTGGGGATCCGATTCTAAATGCAGCTCTTGGAGTTATAGTGAACATTGAAGACCAATTCCTATGTTGAGCACTCAACTGGGTGCAGGGGACCATCACCATGGTGTAGGTGGGTTGTTTCTTTCAACATCCGAGGTCAGCAGACCTTTTTCCAAGGGGAAGTTTTAACTGGGCACCTTTGTGTGGTCGATGATTTAACGGGGAACCTCCCCCCCCAAAAAAACAAACAAACAACCAACCAACCAACCAAGCAAGCAACCAAACGAACAAACAAACAAACAAACCAACAAACAAACCACCGCACACAGAATAGATGGGCGGGCTTGCCCCGCTTTTTGCCAGTGGGGGTCATGAAGATCTGAGAACCCGCTTGTCACGAGCTCGTGATGGCTGGTTCCTTTCTTTCTTCCCGTGAAAGGATCCCGGGCCTTAGGGCCCGATGGGTTGCTCCAGAAGGTGAGCGGAGCCGATCGGTTCCCTGCAACATGGCGACACCCCTGAATGAATCAACACTACAAGAAGGAGCCTCAAACATTTCAAGCTTCCCCGCCAGCTTTGTAACGTGGGGAATCGCATGTATGAGCTCACCAGGTTGATTCATCCAGGGTTCCCGTTAGGGTGGAGACGCAGAGCAGCGTGACGAAGTCTTCAACACCCCCAGCGGAAGTCATTGGCAAACTGCAGAGGAAAAGCTGCTTGGGTCGCGTCTGTTCTGTTTTTTTTTGGCGGTGGGCGAAGTAAGGGAACTGCCGCCTGTAATGAGGCTTTGCAGAGGGGAAAACATGGCCATTCAGCCTGCAATCGTCAGGTGCTCTTTGCTCTTTGATTTTGGTTGCTTCCAATAAGGGGCCACCCCCTCAACCCCAAACACACCCTGCCACCAATTGACATGTTCTTTGGGAAGTCGGACTGAAATCTGAGGAGGGGTCAAAACTCTGCCGATGGTTGCCAATGTTTGCTATGTAATATTGCGTTGAAAAGTCTGCGAAGAAAAGAGGTTGAACAACTTTTCATGATGGCTTTGCTCACATGAAGCGCAAAAGGAGCATGCAAACAGAGCAGGGCTCCTTAAAAGATCCCCATTCTGCCGCCATTTGAGTTACACGTGGCTTTTTCAACACCCAAACCAAAAAAAGGGACACCACCCGAAAACAAGCTGCCATGTTCGATCCGGTGTTTTTCATACGCATCCGGACCCCCCTCTGGGGTTTGAGTCGGTTTCCATCCCGCTCCGCAAGGGGCGAGGCAGGTGCCGAAGGCTTCCTCGGGCTCGTTCTTGGCTGGCGGCCACGAAGCATTTGATGGTTCTGCGGGGGTTTCCGGAGGACGAAGGAGCTTTTTTTTTCCAACTTTTTCCCATAGGTTCCGTAAGGGGTTGCCAACCACTGGTGTCTTTTTGCTCCCCCATTTCATCATGGTAACCTGATTGGTTTGGATTGGTGATTTGGATTTGCAGCCCTCGTTCTTGCAGGTTGGGACACCCCGAAACCACCGGGCTCCGAACCAATTGGAGGGAAGCGGAATTTTCGGAACTCAAATGATGGCCAACGGCCAGAGCGAGGCGAAACAACTGCTGTTGATTTTTTCGGTATTTCTGCCCCCTTGCTTGCGCCACCATTAATCTTGGTCTTGGGATGTTCCATGCCTATTTTCTCCTTGCTCTCTATTTCCGTCGGTTTGGGGTCGTCTTCAAATCTCAAACTTCGCGCTGTCTTTTTGTTGGTTCCCGGGGTGTCGCTCAGCGTGGCGCGCACTTCGCATCCTTCGGCTTTTTTGCGCGAAGTGTGTGCGAGGCCTTGGCAGTGGCCCTATGCCCCACAGGCGTGGGGTCGAACGGGTTCTGGGTTCCTTTCGTTTGGTTGAGAGTATGCTTTTAGTTTCCCCTGTTGGGTTTTTACAGGGAACCTATGCCTGCTGATAATTTTCATTTTTTCCGGGTGACTTAGGCAAATGGAGGGTTCGTTGGGGAAAAGGGGCCCCAGTCCAAATGGTGCCTTAACGTTTTGGGAGCATGGTTAGTTTCACCTGCACAATAGACTTATTACGCTGCATTTCTGGGTAAAACGAGCGATGAAAACCAAGATAAAGGCCGCTTACTTGGGATTCACTTTTTGCGAGTTGGGACTTGCCGCCATTTGTCCGGACCTTCCGCGAGCTCTTGTATATTTTTTGGAATGTTTGACACCCCCGAAACAAACATGGTTTGATACCCACCAGTAGCAGCGTGGTACGTTTGGCGAGAACACAAAAAGGGACTGAATAGCGTATGCTCCTGCCATGTCTACAAGTTGGGGGTACCATATGGCCTTTGGTTATGTAGGCTCCGTTGCTCCCAGTCCCAAATGCCCAGCAAGCTCGAAACGACCAGAGATATAGCGTGAGACCATTCCTGGCCCACTGCAATGGCTTATTTGGATGTACAAATTCTAGCAAGGGCCAGCTCGGACTGGACACCTATTCCTGGTGGCAACCCACTTAGCATGGCTGTAAGTCCCCTTTTACCAGGGTTACTAACCACTTAGCTGAACATGGAACTCCGGAGGAATCTCGCTTTGACACCTCTTCTTCCTTTCCATCAAACAGCAATGGCAAAAATTCTGGACCTCTTCTGTTTGAACAGGTTCCTTTTCGTCCATCCGACGTGGTGGGTTGTCGAAAATATGGACCTCTTCTCGCTGGACCCCTTCTTAAAGGCGGGACCCGCATCAACCATGGCCCCAAAAGGGGACTCCCATTTTTCACAACACGTATCTGGAGCAATGGGAAGCCCCTGACTAGATTCCCTCTGAACTTCCATTTGCTGAAATGAAGATGTGTTGATTTCCCCCTGTTGTTGAAAAAAGATAATCTATTTATTCTTCTTTTTTAATACACTTTTTTCAGGGCGCGCATTGATTGTATTTATTTCATATCTTCATTTTTCCAGGGGGCTCAATTTTTTTTTTGGGGCGTTTTCCGCCAGAAGTGTGGGGAGTTCGCGGCGAGGAGTGGATGGAGGGCCCCCAGAGACTGAGATGCTCGCCCTGGCCGGGCGCCGAGAGGGAGCTTCGGCGGGAGGGCGGAGAAGGTGGCTCTGGAACCGGTGGAACTGGTGGAAAACCGAATGGAGTCTGGGCTCCCAGCCATCCCGTTCTTTTTTTTTAAGATAACTACATACATACATACATACATACATACATACATACATACATACATACATACATACATACATACATACATACATACATACATACATACATACATACATACATACATACATACATACATACATACATACATACATACATACATACATACATACATACATACATACATACATACATACATACATACATACATACATACATACATACATACATACATACATACATACATACATACATACATACACATATATATATCTATAATATATATATATATATATATACACATGGGTTTTTTTAGGTGGGTTTTGGCGCCCAGCCATCCGGTTCCTCGGGTTTTCTTTGGTTTATTCTTAGGTTGGTTCTGGCGCCCAGCTCAGTTTTTTGTTTTGAGGGGGGGTGGTTTTGGCCGGTTCCGCAGGTTTGTGGGTTAGTGGTTTAGTGGGGGGGGCGGGCTCCATTGAACCCACAAGTTACACTTTGAGCAGGGGGGTCGAGGTCGGACTTGTCCAGAAGTCAGGTTGTTTTTTTGGAGGGGGAAATTAAGGGGGAGAGCACCGTATCTTTTTTGCCACCTCCCCCGCAATTTTGACACATACCCGCATGGTGGGTGCCCAATTGGAGCCCAAATCGATGGTAGGCAGAACATGGCTGCCAGTTTATTCGCTTGAATTGTTCCTCGATTTTGCTGTGACTAGATTGTTTAATATATAGGCACAACTGTTTCGACGCTTCCCATGTAAAGTCAGATTTGCTGAGGTTGTTTTGATTCAACCTACGGGGCGGCTCATGTTCGCACAGAAGAAGGAGTCGCTTTGAGCAAACGGGCGGGAGCATTCTGTCGAGATATCTTTCTTACGGTTTTATGAGGGGTCAACAGAAGGGCAAGAAGTCCAAAAGGTTCTTCGGGTGACTCCAACAAACATGGATGTGTCTAGTTTTAGGGCACCCCCAAAAAATGATGGTTTTCCATTTGGCTTCCCTCTAAAACCATCAAACAAGGGGTAATTAATTACCCGCAAAAGAAGACGAGCCACCCAACTGGGTCCTGGGCCCCCGGTGAGTTGGATTTTGCTTTTCAGTCATGAACCGCCCACATTGGGTTGTTGTGGCTGGGCCACTGAGGTTGAGGATGTTCCAGAATGTGCGGGAATGGTGTGACGGCCAAAAGTAAGCCGTTGGGCTCCCACCGAAACTGCCCCGCAGTTTCGGGAGAAAATGTCGGCGATGAGGAGCGGAGCTCCTCATCCCATCTTTATTTTGTTTCAGCCTGATTTCAAACAACATCAGGCCAGAATCTGCGCTTGCTCGAGGAGCAGAGGTCTCGTTCACACCGACTCTTGTGTTTTGGAGGCGCGATGCTCTTTGGAAGCATCCCTGGAACCTCACTTTTGTGGAGTTGCGACGCATCGGCTTGGCACATCCCCCGGCCTTTTCTGCTCGTTTCGCAAAAAAAAAGTCCCCCCTTTTCCTCAAAAAAAATGGTTCCCAGTTTTTGTTTTTGTTTTTAACGATTGTGCCACGCCCTTGCTGATTTGCGCAGCTCACCCGGCCCGGGAAGATCACATCCAGAGTCGGACTCAACTGAGCCAAGTGGTGACTTCCTTCGAGAGCTTTGCCAAGAACCTGAAATGGATTTCCCCTACCACCCGGATCCAACTTAACTTGCAACTGCCTTTTTATAACCATGTCCAAAATCCCAGGTATTGCCCAAAAGCAGTTGGGGGGTGCTGCTTCTAATTGCCTTTGGGTTGGTGAGGGAAGCATCTGTATAGGAAAACACCAACCTATGAGCATGGGAGTCCGGACTCTCGATGCGGTGTACCCCGAACTGGTCACCCATCCTTCTCTCCAAACATCGGGCCGTTTCTTTCGGGTTGCGGGTGGAACCCAACTACTCCTTTCTGGACAATGCTGGGGATTTTGGACATGGTTGAAACAAAGGCAGTTGCAAGTTGGGACACGGGTGCTGGTCGGGAGAATCCATGTCAGGTTTTCGGCCAAGCTATCCCAAGGAAGTCAAGCAGCCCTACCTTGGAACCAGAGGGACCCAGCAAGACCGCGGCCTTCAGCTAAACACCGAGGCCTTTTTGTTTTCGGGGGGGGGGTCTCCAAAGCAGAAGCCCGAGATTTCAAACTGGGCGGTGCCGGCCGGTTCCCAGCGATGCGGCTGAAGTTTTTTCAGATTGCGCAGAGAGGGATTCAACTCCTGGAGAGCCCTTTGACACACCAAAAAGTGCTCCGGACAGTTTTTGGCATTCGAGTTCGAGCAAACTTTGTGTATCAATGGGTCCTGCAGGCACAGTGGGACAAAGACTTAACTTCAAGGAATCAACAAACCACAAGGCAAGCCCACCAAAGCATGGCCCCTTTTAGCCCACCAGACGCCTGCATTGGCGGCTGGAACGTGATCTTCTTTGCGGCTAAATGGTGTGGAGCACTTCGTTTCCTTTCTTTCACGGGCCGAAACGCGGAGCGTGTCGGATGACAAGACAAGCAATGTTTGTTGTGCTCACGTTTCGAGACCGTGCGAGAGGCTCTAGATTATCTGGCAGTTTCAGGGTGGGTGTTGAAATTTGAATTCGATCCGGGCATTGATTGGGGTGTGTCTTTTTTGTGGGAACCCCCTTTTGGTTGGTTTTAAAGGGAAACCAAAGGGCACCCACCATTTTGGGGGGTCCCCTAAAAAAAGACACACCCAGTGGTTGCACTTGCAATGCCTGCATCTTTTTTGAGCCCAATGGGCACTTGCCCGCCCAGGTCAGATTAACACCGGCTCATCTTCAGGGGTGTCCCTTCAAAATCACCCGATCTTCAGTTACGTGTTTCGTTTTTCCTGTTTTTGGGCGGGTCGGGGGTGGGGGTGGTCTGTCTTTCCCGTTCAATTTAAAAGTCCTTTCCCTCATGGAGAACCAGAAGAACATTTCCATGAGTTCCGTCATTCCGGTGCAACTTGCTTCCGCGGCTGGTGGCTCGGAATGGGAATTTCAACACCTGCGGGGATCTCAGCCGCGAGCAAGATGCAGAGGCTCGAAAAAGGCGACGCTGTGGTCTTTTCTGATTGTTGACTTCTGTTTTGAGGTTCCAATTGATATTTTATACATCTTCTTATGTTTGGGATGTCTGCTTGTTAAATACGCATCTTACATGTTCAGGGACTAAGTATGGGCAGAGTCTACCTCCCACGAGCATGGAACCTCAAAGAGAGCCTCCTGTTGGAGGGAAAACATCTTTTCGAGTGCCATGCGCACCCCTCAACCAGCACAAAGAAAGCTTGCAAGGGGCCTAAGTTGATAGGCCGGCACACGTCACCTTTTGAGCCAACGTTCATTGCGCTTGGCTTTGGTGGGAGGTTCACTTTAAGCAGAAAAGGACTGAATTCCCATATATATATATATATATTTCCAATAGCCGATATGCATGAAAGGCTCCAGTTTTTGGAAGAGAGGAATTCTACTTTTTGGAGGGTCCAGGCGTGCCCTCGGGAGAAGGGGTTTGGGCTGACCATTTCAGGCGCCTTCATCTCGGTCGTTGGGCCATCATCGCCATGTCCGAAATCCAAGGAAGATTTCCCGCGCCGTATTTTTGGCGGCCATAAGAACACATTCTCCAGGTACTCCGGCACTCAGAAAAAGAAACACCCACACGCACACGGAAGGAAGCCTCACCTGACCAATTTCAGCAGGTGTCGTTTTTGGGGAGCCCTTGCTTCAGGCCTCAGATGTTTTTGTTTTATTACTTGGCAAGAACATCAACATCAGCCAATGCGCTGTGTGACCGCGCCGCTGCTGCTGCTGCTGCCGCTGCCGCCACTCGGATTGGGTGCGGAGTTTCAGCAGAGTTGGTCGACATCCGGTTTGTCCTTCTGGAGGCTGAAAGCAAAGGGGTCGACAGTGGATACCCGCCTTTAGTTTCTGGGCCATCCTGGGATCGTTTCTGTTCAACGGCGCTGTGAGAGATCTGCGATCCGTATTTTCCCACGAAATCGGTCTGAAGCTCACCTGGGGGTAAGACAAGCTCGCCGTGCTATAGGGGTCGTTACTTGGGGATCCCTCATTATTCTCTGCGAGTTTTAGTGGATTGGTTTCCGAAACCCTTCCATTTGAACACAGTCGGCCTTTGAAAGAGCCGGTTGCACTTGCCGCTCAACTCGCAAAGTTGCCAGGCGAGTGAGGCTTGGCTGTGCTCGCAGATTGTTTCACCACATCCCAATGTTACACCTTGTGGTGATTTTCGACAACATCACCTGTGTAGAACGAAAATTTCAAGTGAGTTTCTGAGTTACTGCCAGGCGATGTTTGCCACAAGGCAAAGGGAGCTGGAAGGCTTTTTGAACGTAGGAAGGCAGTCCAGTCGAGCCAAAGGAAAGCATTTGTTCCAGGCCCTTTTCGGCTGCTGCTCTCACAAAATAGTCTCTTCCTCCTCCCTCGCTTTGCTCTCGCTTCTCTCTCTCTCTCTCTCTCTCTCTCTCTCTCTGTCTCTCTCTCTCTCTCTCTCTCTCTCTCTCTCTCTCTCTCTCTCGGTCTCTCTCCCTCTCTCGCTCTTTTTCTGTTCGTCTTTTTTGAGTATGTTTTTTCTTTCTCATTTTCTTTCTCAGGTTCCTTCTTTCTTTCTTTCTTTCTTTCTTTCTTCTTTCTGTCTTTCTGTCTTTCTGTTTTTCTTTCTTTCTTTCTTTTTTCCCTCTCTCTCTCTCTCTCGTTTCTGTCTCTTTCTGTCTCTCTCTCTCTCTCTTTCTCTCTCTCTTGTTTCTTTCTTTGTTTCTTTCTTCCTTCGTTTCTCTCTTGCTTTCTCTCTGTCTTTCTTTGTTTCTTTTTCAGTTTGTTTTTTGTTTTTTCCCTCTCTCTCTCTCTCCATGTGCATATAATGTTTGCATACACGTTCCTTCATATGCTCGCTCGCCTCATGACTCGCCTGGCTTCTCGGCCTGAGGCTATGCGCGCTGCATGTGGGGGTGTCGTTGTCACTGATCCTTGGCCAGAAATTCCGTGAACTCGAGGGATGTGGATCAAAGGGGAGGAACCGTAGGATTGGAGTGGTCAAAAGGCTGAATGTGTATGTTCATATATGAACGCCTGGTATGAACCCTGGTTTATGGGTGAATTAGCCGTTAGTTCTGGCTTAATTATGGGAAAGCAGTTTTAGAAGGGCTGAACTCAGCCCTCGAAGTGGACCGACTCGTGGGTATCTTGGTCTTGGATCGTAGCGTTCTTGAGTCAGGACCAAGCTTGCTGCGAGCCTGTGACAGATGCCCAACGCAGAATTCTCCATTGGTTTGGTTGTCTTTGTTTTTCTTTGCCAGGGATCAAATTTCTACCCTTAGCACTTTACGAGGGTTTTTGAAGAAAACCCAGCGGAAGCTTGTTTTGGGCATGTGTCAGTCGTATTTTGGGCCACCCTTGGGCGAAACCTTGGGACACGCCAACACTCCTTAAGGAACATAGTCATATAGGGATTGCACGGTTTAGTCTCACAGACTTAGTACTTTGCATGTGCCACGGTCAAGCCACTTCGATCATTTCTCATGGTGTCCCCTTCCTCCAGCGAGCTCACAGCCTGGTTACAGGCTGGCTGGGCAACGAACCTCGCTGCGGATCGATCCAACTGCCCAAATTGAGCACCGCCCCAACTTTGTCGGCTTCGCAAGCCTGAGCTTCTGGGGGCCAGGCACAGCAGGAAAATAAACACCGAGCACATGAGCAACTCAGGTTTAACCAAGCAGCATAACTCTAACACCAAAAACACGGCAATCAAACTTGCCGTGCCCTTGGGAAAGCTCAGGTCTCCGAGCTGCCAGATACTCTAAGTACACATAAACATGCGGCACGTCTCTCAATTTTCCCCACGGAAGAGGAGGGATCATGGCCATCCGTTGGGCCCCGTGCGCCATCAAAGTTGGCACGGGAGCACCTCCCCCGATACCAACTCGCGCAAGCGTGCTGCATGGATGATGGTTTCGGAGAGGCTAGGTCCCCCAGCTAGGTGCCCTTTTTAACCCCTTTTTTGGGTGAGGGTTCCCCTACTAAAATAGACTACAGACAAAGTTGGTACCCTTATTCTAACCTCTCAAATCTGGGGGACCTAGGAGGGATTTCTTTCCCGAATTCCTGGACTGCTTTTGCAAACAAGCCCTGGCAGACGATTCCCAGGGAACCAAGAGGCTGTCAGGGTCAGGGTCAACAGGCCTACTTGCTCGATTGACACCTGCTCAAATCTCCGCATGGACCCCGAACAACTCCGATTTCTATTGGAAACTCCTACGGACCGCCTTCTGGGGTTACATCTTAGTTTGGAGAGGCGTCTTTCTCTGGGAGTTTCTATGGAAAGGACATGACGTGATTCCAGCAGGACAGGATGAAGTTCTACCAGGGTCAGTTGCAAGAATTGCCACACCTAGACGCTGGCCAATCCCTTGAAGGTTGATGAACCGATACCGCGATACCTCACTCTCGG